TTTAAAATAGATTTAATTTCTTTAAAACTATTTTAAAGTAATATTTTAAAAATAATTTAAAATATTAGTTAAAATAATTTAAACATATAAAAAAATTATGAAAATTAAATAAAAGTTAGAAAACTAATCTATGAGTATCTTACTATGAACCAAATTAGAATTGTGTCTATTTTCTTTAGGAAGTCAATGGTATCATTATTTTTATAATGTGTTATTAAAGTTTTAACATTCTTTATTTCTTTGGTATCAATTTGTTATAAGTATTAGATAAGAAAAAAGTTTACTGGCATACCATATCAAATGATTCTGCTGAATAGCCTTTTTGTCCTCTTCTTATAAGTGCTACATCACTCTCCCATAATTTTTTTTTTAAAAATCCCTTGGGTCTTCTCTTCACTTTACATAAATCGACAACATTGAAGGTGGAAGATATGTCTATTTTCTCTAGAAAGTTAATGGCATAGTCATTGACATTAATATATTAGAAGATTTTAGATAGTCTATATATATTCAGAATTATTTTTTTATAACTACTAAATTGGAAAATTTATTCTTAATTGTTGCAATTAGTTGAAATATACTAATTTTATATTTTAATGAACAATTTCAATATAGTTTGTCATCTTGTCAATTGTAGAAATTGTTCTTATCAGTTTTCATAATGCACCAAAATCATGAGGAGCATTAATCATTAGAATAATTTATTAATTTAATTTTATAATTTATCTAAATATTTATGTTTATAGACCTCATTTAACTACATAAAAATAAGAAGGAAAATAATTTTATATTTTATAAATATTATGTTAATAATAAATATAATTTGTACTAGTTATAGGAAAAAATTGAAATCCCTTAGCAGAGGCAATTGATGCACATGACAGATACATAGATAGATAGAATGGTGAAGGCGGAAGAGGAAGGAGGAGGCAGGGACTTGGAGATGGATTCCCGAGGGATTTCCAATGTGTCCTATTTGTTGTTTATTAAACGTACAATTTACTCATTTATAAAAACTGAATTCTAAATGGTATTAAACACTATGAATAGTGGAATACAGGCCATCTCCTCAAGAATGGTTTGACAAAATGAAATGATTACTCTTTGCCAGTCGTAAAATTGGTAAAGGGAATGAAACTTTAAAAAAAATAACAAAGAAACGTAGTTACTCAATGTTGAGTGTGTTACCCATCTAGCATAGAATAACACGGAAATGAACGGAAAAGAAACGAAAACAGGAAAAAAAAGGTGAGAAAATCATCCTCTCCAGATCTCTATCTCACTTATTAATTAGGAGAGGAATGATTGTGCTGATATAATCAATAAAACAATAAAATTGCAGAAATCCTCTTCAAATCCTTGTGTCACTCAGAAATCTAGAGATGGATAATGCAGTAAATCAAAACAGTAAAGAACTACGATAAATTTTTGAAATAAAAATCTCCTTTAAATCCCTATGTCACTCCGAAATCTAGAGAGGGATAATGTAGTAAATCAAAGTAATAAAAGAAAACGATAATTTTCTGAAATAAGGTCCCCTTTAAATCCTTGCGTCAAAAATCTAAAGAGAAATAACAGCAAATCAAATCAGTAAATAAAACCATGAAATACTTGAACACAGTCCTATTTAGATCCCTGTTCCACTAAAAGATTTAAAGAAGAAAAATAGCACACTAATTCCCAGGTAACACTAAATAGAAGCAGTAAAAGAGACTCTGAGCGGTTGAGATGTGGGGAAGAAGGTCAGGTCGCTGCTGTCACCACCATCAATGCTGCTGCCACCGGCATCATTGTCGGCATCGTGAACGCTTCTGCCACCGTCGTGCTCGGCTCCACCTCTGCCTGTCACACAAGAGGGGGAGCTTGCAGCTACCGCCGTCACTGTCATGAACATTACTGCTGCCGTGCTTGGGTCCACCTCTGCCCATCACATAGGAGGGGAGCTCACAGGCACCTCCGTTGCCATTGTCTTGCCCTAACTCCCCCCCCCCCCCTCTTTTTCTCTCTCCTTCTCTCTTCTCTTTCATACCCCGATCATAGTGGGCTGAATATTGGACCTAATTTGGCTAGCCTATTAGCAAGCTATCCTACATCTTCTCCATCAAATCTAGCAAACAGTTGATTGCAAAAAAAAAAAGAAATGAAAGGATAGATAATATTTCTCAAGTGTATGCCTTAGATATTGCATTAGGTTACATGTCAAAAGATCAGACATAGACTTTTCAAGGCTAATGTGTAGATTTAAATCAAAATTCTTGATATGAATTATAAAATCTGTTTGAATGTTTTTCATTCTATTTTATTAAATCTAACTATAGTTTATGTGATATTTATTATCATTTAACCTTAAATAACATACATGAATGATATTCTGACACTCTCATCATAAAAACCCTACCTTGCTCCTCACCTCATTGCAGCTCTAGATCTAGGGCCAAAATAGGCTGACAACAACATCACCACCAAAGTTAGAGGCCTCATTTTCATTCATCCTTGCAATCCCCACACTTCAGATGCTCACCACCACCCCCTCCCTGGCCATGACAATGGAGGAGATGGCCCTAAGAAGCTCTCCTAGGTTTTGCATCCCTATAAGAAGTGGGAGCATTACTTGTGAACTAGCACTCCCAGTGAAGCCAATCATGCCGTTCCCAAATTCATGTCCCTCGCGTATGAAATGCTAGAAATGGCACCTCCACCATCCACCTGATCTTACTCTCACTACCATCGCAACCCCCTCCCTTGATCTCGCTAGTACCACAAAATCTTTGGGAGAAACTGCGGGAGATTTCTGGGGAGGGAGGAAGGCCGATGCTGGTGGTAGTGGAGGTTGGTTGTGAACTATCTGCCTCGTCGGCTCGGCTCATAGGGGGTCAACATGGCAACACTCTAATTTTCTAATACAAATTGCCACTCCAGCACCATATTGGTCCCCCATGAGATGTATGAACACCCACCTACTTGATGAAGGACTAAGAGAGGGATACTTTTTTGAATGATTACTAAAATATGGTCAACGAAAATCCAATAATAAATGTTTCCTACACCCAACGGCTGACCTTTAATCTTCTAACCTCGTCAGCCACCATTCACTAATCTAAATATTATCATATGCAGCTCTAAGTCCGAAGTTTAACCTTGTGAAAATATAATTTATCATTGGGTTCCTTTCAAATATATTTTTCTTCTATTTTTATCTCATTATTCCTCTAGTACTTACATTGTCAAGTCATTGGAAGAAGAAATTGTGTCTTTGAATCCAAAAGAAATGAATGTTCAATGAAGAAACCACGTCCTAAATCCATGGAACTTTGAAAATGGAACTAGAACCACAAAGAGGGGAAATTTTCATAATAATTGAGTAATGCCCTTGGGGATATAGCAAGTTTCTACTAGGACACCCCGAAAAAGGTGAATTGGTTCTAATGTTGCTTTAGAACATATTTAAAGCACTTTAAAACCATTTTTTAAATAGTGTTTTAAAATAATACTATAAATAGAATTTTAAAATAATTTCAAAACATATTAAAAGTTAACAAATCAACTAAAAGTTGAAAAACTAATTATAACATGTTTCCTAATAAGCCAGCTTAGATATTAGGCCATGCTATACCTATAGTCTATTCTTCGTGTTTCTAAGGTGTTTGGTCCGCTAGAGTTTGATTGTGCATATGCCACATTAGTCTCCCTTACTTTAGAAGAACTCACCTTTCAGTTTTCACATGGCTCTAGATAATAATCATAATTATACATAACATTGAAGGTGAAAGTATGCCTATTTTCTGCAACAAGTCAATAATGTAGTTATTCTCATTAATATTTTATTATATTTTTAACTGTGTATATTTCTTTGACATTAACTTGTTATAAGTGCTATATGGAATCTTTCCTTTTGTAAATATGTCATAACCAAATCATCTACTTGAAAAGTCTTTTTCATCATCATCTTCTCAGCAATTTCTTTATAATTACTATAATGAGTTGAAATACATTTTGTTAATACTTTCATAGATTGTGTTAATATAGTATGTCATCTTTTCAGCTCTAATGATTCTTCTTGTCTATTTTGATGTATACATTAAAATCAAATGAAGTAGAAAAAACTAGTAGAATTTCTTGAATTAAGTGGTACTATTTTATTTAGATGTTTAATGCAAATGTAACTCATTTAATTAAATAAATATTAAGAATAAAATTAAATTATGATGTTATATATATATTTGATTTTTTAATTAAAAAAATACATAATTCTTAGTAGTTTTAGGGACCATTTGAAACCTCTGGACAGAGGAGTTGCTCTATGTGTGACAGATGGATAAATAGAACAATGAAAGGAGCGGAGGAAAGAAGAGGCAGGGATTTGAACATATAAACTTGAGGGCACTGATGACAAGAACCTCTACACGGTCATTGTCATAAAATGGTCCTCATTTCTTTGCCATTGATTTGTCATAAAGACTAGGTAAGAACATTTATTTCTAAAAATATACAATAATCAAATCATCCACTTGAAAAGTTTTTTTCATCCTTTTCTTATCAGCCATCCTTTTCTTATCATTATGGTAATAGGTTTGAAGGTACTTATTTGACATTTTCATGAACAGTTTTAATACAGTATGTCATCTTTTTAGTTTCAAAGCTTATTTCTATCTGTGTTGATAGATACATCAAAATCAAGTGGAATAGGAACAATAGGAATATTTTTTAATTTAATTATTTAGATTTTATATAGATTTCCCGTGCTTATGAAACTCATTTAATTAAATAGATAACAAGAAGGAAGTTAAATTCTGGTATTTTCTACATATTATATTAATAAAAACGGACATAAGTCTTAAGTAGTTCTAGGGAAAACTGGAAACCTCTGAGCAGAGGTGATTGCTGTGCGTGATAGATACATTGATAGATTGACAGATCAGCGAAGGGGGAAGAGGAAGTAGGAGACAGGGATTTGGAGGAGACAGGAATCTTGAGGGCTCTCATGGCAAGAACCCTCCTACTTAGTTCCCCACCAAGGCGCAGCTCCGGCTCCTGGGCCAGAACGGACCGCCGACGACGACATCCCCGCCGAAGTCGCAGGCCTCGTTCTCGTCGATACTGACGATCCCCACGCTCTGGCTCCTCGCTACCGCCCCTTCCGCGGCCTTCACGGGCGCGGAGGCGACCCTGAGAAGCTCCCCCAGGTCATCCTCCCTGCCGCTGCCGGGCAGCGGCGGCGGAAAGCGGTAGCCCCTCGACGGGCCGACTATTCCTCGAGAACTGGCCCTCCCGGCGATCCCCGTCATGCCGTTCACATACGCGTCCCTCGCCCGCCGCAGCGCCCTGAACGGCGCCTCCGCCATCCTCCCCACCTTACTCCCCCCGCCGTTCCCTCCCCCCTCCTTCTTCATCTCTCTCTCTTCTCCTCTCTCTCTCGCTAGCTCTCAGGGAGAAGTTGTTGGAGATTTATGGGGAGGGAGGAAGGGCGGCGGTGGGGGGAGGAGGTCGGCAGTAAGCTATAAATTTGGCCGGCGGCTCAGGTGGGAAAACAGCAACGCGGCTACTTCCTGATAGGAACCGCCGATTCCGTCGCCGTCATGGGCCCGAATAGACTTTTCGGAGCGGCCATTTTTTCCAGCTCCAACTTAGTCCGCACGTTGCTAGGAAATCTATTGCGATGGTTCTATCAGCCGTGAGAGAGGTGACAAGCTCTGGCAGGCCCAAAGGCACAACCTTTCTCTTGGGCACGTCCGGAATAATAAATAAATGGAATTCTCTCTCTCTCTCTCTCTCTCTCTCTCTCTCTCTCTCTCTCTCTCTCTCTCTTCCACTCTCTCTTCCTCTTCCTCTCTTTCTCTCCTCTCTCCTCTCTCTCTTCCTATCTCTCTTTCTCTTCATCTCTCTGTTCCTACCTCTCGTTATCTTCCTCTCTTTACCTCTCTCTCTCTCTCCCTTTCTCTCTGGGTCTCTTTCTGCGTGGGAAAAGTGGAGGACGAGGGTTGACGGAGTTGGCAGTGGCGGACAAATCAGCGTGTTTTGATAAGAACTAGGAAAAAATCTAACCACGTCGATTAACTTGTGGCCCTGAATTCGGGCAATGACAACCCCCTCACCATTCTTTCCGTCTTATCTTGAAGGCTTTCACTACCAAAAATGTCCCAAAAGGATGAGAATTCTCGGCTGTGGACTCGCGTGTGCAAAAGGTCATATCACTCTGCCGTCCTCTTGGGGCCTGCGTCGTCGATTATGTCAACTGATGGGATGGGCTTGACTTTGCTGATGCGGTCGGAGATGACGACGTGGAGGAAATTTTTCACCACGTGTCCCCCCTTTGACTTGGTAAACCATTATTTTGACGGGGTCGGAGAGAGAGAGGATTACATTGCGCTTCCATATGCCTTGGGCCCAATTTTGTATCTAATTGGGCCTGAGCTTGAGGTGGGCGGTTGGGTTACGTGGGCTTGGGCAAGAGTGGTCGTAAATATAGGCCTATTATATGACCGCCCAGGAAGAATCCGGGGGTACTCTCTGAGGCCCATTAAAGAAAGGTCAGTTACGGGTAGTAGGTCTGCCAATTCCTGGGCGTTTTGGGCCAAAATGACGAAACGGGGCCATCGATGAAGCATAATGGGGCCCAATTAAGTATCACGATAGTCCGGTCCCATTATGCTTCACGACGAGCTTGTGATTGTGGGCCCAACTGCTGTCAGGCCCTCAATCAATTCGACCTCCTGCAGTACCTCCTTTACTGGACCACTCTCTCTCTCTCTCAGTAGAAACTGTACCTCCATTACTGGATCTGTCTTTCTCTCTCTCTCGCTGTGGGGATGGGGGAAAGGGGGTTCTTGGTGATCCTCCTCCCCCTGCTGGCGGCGCTCCTCCTCCAATTCTCCGGGCATTCCTCCGCCGGCCACCTCCACCCGCTGATCATCGTCCCCGGCGCCGCCTCCAGCCGGATCGACGCCCGCCTCACCGACGCCTACCACTCTTCCAGCGCCTGCGGCGGGATCTGCAGCGCCTCCCTCCCGGCGGTCTGGTTCCGTCTCTGGTGGAACAAGACCCTCGTCCGGGAGCCCCTCCTCCGCTGCTTCGGCGATCTGATACAGCTCCACTACGACGCCGCCTCCGACGACTACCGGAATACCGCCGGAGTTGAGACCGCCGCACCCTTCTTCGGCTCCGTCGAGGGCTTCCGCCACCGCGACCCCGACGCCCCGTGAGCCCTCCTCTCCCATGGCTTCCAATTGGACCATTTTCTTCCCATTATTTGAACTTTTACTGCCGTTTTTGTTGAGAAATTAAGTAATAATTTGATAGATTAATATTTTTCAAAGATGATTTTGACTTCATCCAAGACCCTGCGCGAGATGAACCCGCTGTTGATTCTCAGGGAAGAGGACTGGCCGATGGCGACCCTGTTGCAGCGACTGGAGGCCGCCGGCTACCGCGACGGTGTTGACCTCTTCGGCGCCCCTTACGACTTCCGGTACGGCCTGGCCGCCGGGGGCCATCCCTCCCCGGTGGGAAGCCGCCTGCTGCAGGATCTGAAGGGCCTCATCGAGCGGGGCTCCGCTGCCGCCGGCGGTAAGCCGGCGGTGGTGGTGGCGCACAGCATGGGGAACCTCTTCGTCCTCCGACTGCTCGCCCGAAGCTCCCCGTCGTGGCGCCGGCGCTTCGTCAAGCACTTCATCTCCATCGCCGCCCCCTGGGGCGGCGCCGTCGCGGAGATGTACACCGCCGCTACCGGCGACGTCTCGGCGGGACTGCAGCCGGTGAGGTTGCAGGTGGGGAGCTTCGAGAGTAATTCATGGCTTCTGCCCTCCTCGAAAGCTTTCGGGTCGCGGCCTCTGGTGGTCACCACCCGCCGGAGCTACACCTCCGCGGACATGCCGGAGTTCCTCTCCGCCGCCGGGTTCCCGGATGCGGCGAAGACGTACGGATCTCGTGTCCTCCCTCTCGTGGAGAAGCTGCCTCCGCCGGGAGTTCCGGTGACGTTCGTTTCGGGGACGGGAGTGGCCACGCCAGAGCTGCTGGTCTACGGTGATGGGTTCGCTCAGTTCCCGGAGATTGTCTACGGGGACGGCGACGGGACGGTGAATATGGAGAGCTTGCTGGCGGCGGCGGTGGAGTGGTCTGGCCTGCCTGAGCAGCCGCTGAAGGTGGTAAAGATCGCCAACGCCACCCACGTATCGGTTCTGATCGCGGAGGAAACATGGAGGGAGATCACGGAGCAGGTGGCGGCCGTTGAAGTGCCGTCAAAACGTGGGAAAACCGCCGAAGACTCTGAGCAGCTCTCCAGTCTGAGTTTCTAAGTCTGTCTGTCTGTCTGTCTCTCTCTCTCTCTCTCTCTCTCTCTCTCTCTCTCTCTCTCTCTCTCTCTCTCTCTCCTCTCTCTCTCGTCCGTCGGTAACAGCCAAGAACCTTCTTGGTGGCTTCCTTATGGACGGTGGGTTATGGACTGCGATGGGCATCTTGACGAAGAAGAATTTAGGCATCGATGGCGTCAGTGGGTGGGTGGCGGCGCGGTATTCACATTGGGTCACCGCCGGAGAGTTGACCAGTCAATATTCGTAGGGTTAGTTTTGACCGGCGACTTAGTCTCACTTATAGAGACAAAATGGTGAAGGAACGAAGGCGCATACTCAAATCTCTTTTTTGTAAATTTTAAATAATAATATTTAAATAATATCTATAGTAAGAATTTTAGACAGAATATCCCTTCAAAATATATCTATACCACGCTTGACTAAAATTCCCAAGAAGGATGGGTCAAACTTGTGCTTAACGACACTAGAGTCCTATTGACTAATGGGACCCACTCGAGTGTCACTGGCATACCACATCATAGAAGTTGTCAGGGTATTTCCCTTAGTTATGTCATCACTAATACCAACATCTAAAGTCAAGCCATGGCCTCCAACGTCAACTTTAAGAATAATATCTCAGAGTGTTTGCCGATGGTAGTCTAATTATTCTAATTATCATAATTATTCAATTCGTGAATCTTCCATCAACTTTGATTACGAAAACGTTGACTATCTTAGTATGCATGTTTTCATTAATAATGTTGTTTTTAGAAGATGTCGGTCTTGTAATCATACAATTAGCAAGTCACGATTCGATGTCATTCTCACGAATAATATTTATCTCAAATATTCCGTTGATATTTAGGTTTATATCTCCTTTTGACCAATACTAGAGGAACTTTGCAATTAAAAGATGTTATAAAGGCTTTGATTTACATGAACCCTAATTATTTGATTAGTAATTATGGGATTAGAAGCTGCCATTCTTGAAAGTCATCCTTTTTGCGTAAAGTATCATGGTTTCAACGTCATTTTTAAAAATTAATAATCCCAAATATTCCTAGATATTTAAGTTTGTGTCACCTCTTGAACAACACTAGAACCTACAGATTCTATAATAAGACTTACCTACAACGAATGGGTTCAAAAAGTCAATAATCAGAACTATGACTTTTGCCATCTCAACCCCAAGTATACTAATAAATAATGCATGCATGCAACGTGGTAACTATCAAAATATGCCATTTATATCAATTTATCTTAGGCTTATTAAGCATCAATAAAATCATTATCTTGGTCTAAACTAGTCTTCAATAAAAATTCTAGCTTGGTTCTCTTACCCTGTGAAAATTCTATAAAGGTGATAACTCTCTCTCTCTCTCTCTCGCTAGGTGTCTATCAATCTTTCTAAGATGGGTCAACCCGAGGACTTGGGACTGGGCATCATAAGAGACCGTGGCTATTTCGTAAATTTTTGTTAAGTTCGAGTAGCTTGAGAGATGCACGTAGACTTGGGCTCTTATTATCGTTAATATTCACGCGATTTGGGGAGAAGTCGGAGTGAACCCCGAAATATCGTAGCGAATGACGTGAGAAGTAGCGACGAAAAGAGTTGCGATTAAGCGAAAGTTTGACCGATAGAGAGATCCAAGGGTGGTCGATGACGCAAGGCATGAGGACAGGCGGCGGCAATCCAGAAAGCGGGCGGCTTTGACAGCGACTCATGGGTTAATCCCATCGAGAGAGAGAGGGAGAGAGAGAGAGAGAATGAGCTGCCGCAGATTTTGACCATTGCCGGGGGACGGATTGCCGTTATAAAGGAGGCATCACCTCCCCGTCTCTGGCCATATCCTCTCTCTCTCTCTCTGCCTGTCTATCGGTATGCAGGGCTATAGCGAAAGATATGGCGAGGTTCCGCAAGCTTCGACGTCCTACGGCCTCCACGCCGTGAGGAAGCCGCCACCGAAGCCGTGGAAGAAGGGGGCGGCGCCGCCCATCCCGCCGCGGGTCTACCGGGTGGAGCCCCGGGGGTTCCGGCAGCTCGTGCAGAGGCTCACCGGCGCAGAGCCGGCGGCGCCGCCAGCCCGCCGCCTGAAGGAAGCGGCGCCGGCGCCGCTCCTCCTGCCACCCAGCCAGCGTGCCGCCCCGGCGGCCCTGCCGGCGGAGGCGCGGCACCACGCCGTCGCCGGCGAGGAGCATCCGCCGCCCCACTCGGCGGGGAAGGGTTCTCCCTCGCTTTACTCCTCGTACATGGCGTGGTGCAACCTGCCTCTTCTTAGCCCGGGTTCGATAGCCTTCCTGGATCAAGCAACAGTCAACTAGATTCCCAGGAGAGCTCACCGGAGTTGGACTCTCCTCCTCCGGCGACAGTAGGAATAGGTGTAGAGAGAGAGAGAGAGAGATTCATTGATATGTTCTGTTATTTGAAATGTGCAGATCAGATCCACCCTTCATGACTTTATATTGCAATCAGAAGATTAATATCATATGATTCTGGGAAAACTTTATAAACTTGTAATATTTCCCAAGTCCAATGAAAGTTTGGTCGTCATGCAAGAAAAACAGAGGAGATGATCACAAAAAATATGGAGTAGACAGAAGAATCCTTATGCCCACATAACCTATTCTCTGACAATTTTATGAATTTCAATAATATGGTTCAAACATTGAAAAGCATGAACGAGAAATGAGAAATAATTCAAATTTGATTCGCGGGTTTGATCATGGAGAGCTTCAGAGTCGAAACAATTCATGGCACAGATGATGCGAATCAGCTAAAATCATCCATCTGTGTCCATCAGAGGTTTAATTCTTACATATAAGCCTCTATATCATATTCTCTTCCTTTTTCATAAAGTTCAATCATATGGTTCAAACACTGATTAATTTGCGGGAGAAACAAGAGATAAGAAATAATTCAGTTATAATTCCCTATTCTGATCATTTATAGCGTCAAAACATAAACGATTCATGGCACAGATGATATGAAGCATCTCTGTTCATCACAGATGAGTCAAATGATACATACAAGCATCTAGAACATACTCTTTTCCTTATTCAAAGTTCAATCATATGGTTCAAATATTGATGAATATGGAGGAGAAATAAGAACATTTTCAATTTTGATTGCCTTCGTTGATTATTAATAGCTTTAAAACCAAAAATATCGATAACTGAAATGATACATACAAGCATCTAGAACATACTCTTTTCCTTATTCAAAGTTCAATCATATGGTTCAAATATCGATGAATTTGGAGGAGAAATAAGAACATTTTCAATTTTGATTGCCTTCTTTGATTATTAATAGCTTCAAAACCAAAAATAATTAATGCATGAGCAACAATAAACATGTGTTGTTCACTATATATGTACACAGGCCCAGGGATTTAACAGGCTTAGGCTCCTAGTAGTTCTCCCAGTAGTTCCTGAGCTGGGACATGTGGAGGAGGAGGTCGTCCCTACCAAACCCAGTGACGCTGCTGGTCATAATCCAAGGAGGAGGAACCTTGTAGTACTTTCTGGTAAGCTGCAGGAAGCTCCTGATGTTCTCGTCGGGTTGGTTCCCCTTTTTGGCTTTTCTCTTGTCGCACTTGGTGAACACGAATGTCATGCCAATCTAGAATTATAACAAAACGAAGAAAGACAACCCACGGAGTAAGGAATTGACAGAAATATATATATATATATATATATATATATATTGTTTTAAGGTGGAAGAAGGTTTTTTGCTGAGAAATCAAGAGACGGGAGGAGAAATGTTTAGCTTATGAAAATACAAGAGATAAATCCATGGAGCAAGAAGTTGAAAGAAAAAAACTATATATATCTATATATAACCAACTAGTTCATTGAGGTAGAAGAAGTTTCATGAGAAATATTCTGATAAATTAATAAGAAAAAAAAGAGAAATCAGTTTAATAAGTTAATGGAAATATAGGAGATAAACCCATTAAGTAAGAAATTGGCTGAAAAAATTATATGCATTCACTTTGGCTAGCAAGGTAGATATAAAAAAAAATAAAAAATTATAACTGTAGGGAAATAGAAGAGACTGATTACGCACATCATTGCGGCCAAGCCAATTAGCGCAGTCAAGGTCGATCTGCTGAGGTGGGGTGCTGGCATCCACGAGGAGCAAGACAGAGACAAGAGTCTTCCTCTTCAGGAAGTAGCCTTTGGTGAAGGCAGACCAATCCATTCGAACCGAATCAGGGGCATTCGCAAACCTACAATGGAAACAGTCTCATTAATGAGCAGGTTTGGATAGACTAATTAATGACGAAGACCACTGGAACATCCAATGGATGCAGGTATCCCCTCAATATTATTCGACCCTATCTGCTAAATAAAAGTATTGGATTGAAATAATACAGAAGTCTGGAGAAAACGATTCGGCCCTCCCCTTCCCCCAAGGGAATGGGGAAGTGTGTACGTATGTTGTGTTGTCAGAAACATGATGAACCTGGAAGCCTGGTACAAGAACGAAAAGAGAGAAATGGAAGAAATAATGATCGGAATGAATTTTTTTACGGTCACTTTGACAAATAATTCATAATTATTGAACCGCAAGGCTTTACGAATTTTAATTGGTAGGAACACGGATCTAGTAGCATAATGGAGAGATGAAACCTTGGGGCGCAGTTGTGACCATGGAATTCTGTCAACAAGCTAGGAGGGATCGTAGTAATCTAAAAAGCTGGAGTAACCAGAAAACTGAGAGGGAAGACTAAAGAGAAGATAAGGATGATTCAAGATATGATAAAGATCAGGGAGATGCGGGATGATCATGATCTGGTGGTAGAGGAAAATCGTAAGAAAGAATCCAGGGACTGGAGGCATAAGGAAGAGAGGAGATACAATAGAGGCAAATCTAAAAAAAATTGGTGCAAAAAAGGGAAAGTTGAGATAATAAAGATATTTTTTGCCTACTAATGAAGGGCATTCAAATACAACGAGAAACTGAAACCACAGATAGCGTAAATTGTACTACCAATGACGAACCAAAAGTGAACTAATCAGGCTATTATAATTCCCTTTAGGAAGAGGCTGACAAGGCTACGTTTGTGATAGATGCTAATGGAACCCGGGGCCTAAATGGATACCCATTAGGGTTCCATCAACAAGAGCAACATTTCATGATAAAAGGCTTATGGGCAGTGGCCAAAGAATTTGAAGATGCACCTCTGTACATCAAAAAAATTTAACTGTCGATAACTTGAACAATCCTCCAGAAAATTGGTGTAAGAGAGAAATAAACTGATGCCTAAAAATTGGTGAAAGAGAGAGAGTAAAAGGCTAGATAGATTAATCAACTGATGTCTAAAAATCATAATGAAGGCGATAGATCAATAGATAGACAGAAACAAATAAGCCTCCCTGGAAAATAGCTAATTTCTAGACAACGACATAACATATTAAGGAAGCCATTCATAACTAGAAACAAAAAATGTTGCACTATGGATGGTAATTATAATCTTTCGAGAAACCGTACAATAACTCCGCTGGTTTCTCAAAGTATTCAGACAGGTGTGGATCAATGTGGCCTTTGGGTTTCTATTTGCAGCACTTTTCTATTTTAGTGAATGATGACACATGCAGACCCTTCAGAAGCTCGAGAACTCTAAAAAATGGAGACTTAGAATCCTCTCTCCTGTTCCTCCTGATAACCTAAAACTTGACTTCCACGCTGACACCATTATCATAAAAGATGTTGAGCAAGCGAGAAACGACAATAAGTTCACCTACCTTATGTATACAAAACTGATGAAGAAACGAATAAGTGAAAATTCAAGGTTACTGATTAGAAAGACGTCCGACAGCGGTCCCTTGAATCTATAATAATCAGTAAATTTTCAGAGACCCTCATAGTTTGTAGATATAACGGGCAGCACACTGGACTCCCCAGTTAGCATGTAGATTGAGTGGAATAGGCAAGCGGCATAGATTACCGCTTCTGAATCATTCCAATTGACCAAAAAAGCTGCAATGAGCAGTACCAATCATCCATTAAGCTATGGTTACTTAAGATCATTGTAACAGCTCATAGAGCAGCTGGAAAAAGGAGATAGTCTCACCCATAACCAGGCAGATCCACAATATACCAGCTTTTATTGACCAAGAAATGGTTAATCACCTGAGTTTTTCCTGCATGAACCAGGCATTTTGTCAAACATGGTGCCTGCAAAGACTCCCACACGAAAACAAATAAAAACATAATGAAATTCCAAGGCCGTGGAAATTTCAGTGAAAAGACCAGTGACCTGGCTTCTTGGAAGTGAGTGCGATCTCCTTCTTGCGGACGAGAGCGTTGACGAGGGACGACTTTCCCACGTTGGACCGGCCGACGATGGCGAACTCTGGACGATCGTCCTTGGGGCAGTCGCTCGGCCTCGCGCTACTCTTCACGTATTCCACCTGCTTGATCTGCGCGTGCCCCGCGTAGGGTCCAACCACGATGTTGGATCCCGGCAGAACCATCTCCTCAGTAACCTCATCGAGATCAACACCCGGTGGGACGAACAGATTCTCCCGCACAAACTCCGGCGTCTGTGGAGCAGACATCGCCGCCGGTTTCGCAGGAGAGGCGCCGGCCCCGGCGGCCACGCGCTTTACATTCGTAGGAGCAACAGCGGCAGGCGAGCCACCGGGACTCGAGTGAGCCGCCTGGAGCAGAAGCCTGCGGAAGCATAGGCAAGAGAATGGTGGCGCGGGAGGAGGCGTGCGCATGGGGACGGCCGTCGTGAAGCTCCGAATGTTCGCTAGATGTCCCCGGAGCAGCATCTCGGGCGGGAAGGAAGACGAAAGAAGAAGGGAGACGAGCAACAGAGGAAGAAGAGCAGCAGCTTTCGAGCCAATCTCCGAAGACGACCACCTATATCTAATCACGACCGTTCAAGCCATCTCGAATCCTACGGCTCCGACGCGGACATACTATCCAATCAACACCGTCGAAATAATGAAGACATTATTAATCGTTCGGCTATTATTTGGTGGACTAAGATATTGATCGTACGATGTGGATATTATGTGGAGATCTCGAGGAAAAAAATGGCATTTGATACGAAATTATTTTCAAATTTTGGGTTTTGGTCTGCGCCGGCAAATGAGTACGTGGCCGCGGTGTGAATAAGAAGCCAACACCGACAATAAGACAAGAGGGCAAACCATGCATCGGTATGTTTTGTCACGCATAGCATGTACTCCGTCGATGAGAGATCAGACCCAAAGCTAGTCTCATATGTTGTCGACAAACTTCGTTTTAAGCCATATGCTATGCGGACTGACTTAACACATAAATGACACACGGTGCAAGAGGTATATCCTAAGACAACACTGAGATGTACGCCATCGATAACCCACAAGCTAATACGGCCGCTGCCACGTCATCGTCATTATAGAGATCTCTCTCTCTCTCTCTCTCTCTCTCTCTCTCTCTCTCTCTCGCTACCTCTACGATTTCTGTCCATCGTTTGGGATTTCTAGCGCAGCAGAAAGGGAGGGGGGAGGAAGAGGAGAGATGTCATGGCTGGCAAAATCATTCGCGAATCTGATCGCGAAGGACGAGGACGAGGATGGAGATGATGGCGGCGACCGTAGGAGAGATGGCGGTGAGCAGACATCGGGAGGGGAGAGCAAGGTTTTACCTCCAGCGGCGGCGGAGTCTGATGGAGGTGAGGGATCGGGAGAGTTGAATCAGGGAAGGGGGGTCAAGGAGGACCTCTCGGAGCTTTCCAAGACCCTCACCCGCCAGCTATGGGGTGTCGCCTCCTTCCTGGCCCCTCCTCCGACGGCATCCCCCCAGCCGCCGAGCCCCTCCTCCGCCTCATCCCCCGATGGCGATTCCCACCGGACCGATCGCGACTTCGGTTCCAATGTTCCTCATCCCACGTTATCACCGGAGTCGGCGAATCCTGACCTTGTGGACGATTCGCCGAAGATCGCGGGAATCCGGAGTGACTTCGCGGAGATCGGTGGGAGATTCCGCAGTGGGATCTCGAAGCTGTCCAATACGAAGGCTGTCTCGGAGATATCCAAGATAGCATCTAGTTTTCTTCAGTTTGGTTCTGATGGGGAGGAGGAAGAGATGGAGGACGAGCAGGGCTTGGAAAATAAGTACGGCAACAGCGGCATTGGAGCCATTGGTGTTACCGAGGAGGTTTTGACCTTTGCGAGGAACATCTCTATGCATCCAGAAACGTGGCTCGATTTCCCTTTGTTCCCCGACGACGAAACTGCGGATGGTACGTGATCCCTGATTTACCATATGCATTTGTGTGATTCCTAATCATTGGGAGCTTGCTCTTGCGTCTTCATATGCAAATATTCTTCATACCTCCCTATAAAGAACCAATGTCATAATTTATCTGCGCGTTGAAGGGCTTATGCTGCTACTTTGGCGGACTGTGCATTGAATTGGGGTTTGGGGGGTGGAGGTTGGGTGTGATCATGAGGCCTCTACCCAACAATTCGGCAGCCATGGTTAACCTGAGCTGCTAAGTTAGTATGGTGAACATACTATCTTCTACTTGCCTTTGTGTGAGGTTTATAGTTTATAGAAAATGTCCAAATGGTGTGGCTCACATAAATTCCTGAACCTTTGATGTGTGAAATATCTGTTTCAGAATGAAGAATTCTCGGAATATTCGGATCCTCTAGAGTTTTTTTTTTTTTTCTGGGATTTCATTAGGAAACATGCACGATTTCATGTGAGACTATTGGACTTCCAATACTCATTGACTTGTGTTTAGGCCCCTCGAGTTTTTTCGTAGTATAAAAAAGATGAAATAGATTAACACAGCCAACCAAGAATGAAAGGACATGCTACCTATAGCAGCCCTTTGCTGTGATTTATTTCTTGGGCAGATGTGAGGACTCTCTTTCGGTATTTGTTTCTTGACAATCTCTTTGTTTTGTTGCTACTAGACCTTATTTACTGAAGAATACTGATTTTTATGACGGTGACAAGAGCAATGAATCTGCAGGAGTGATACATTTTTCTTTCCATATATGGATGGCCAATTTATCTTGTAAACTAGATAGAGCTTCATCAGAAAATTACGAGCCATTCTAGGAAGGTGGAATCCCATTTTAGACCATCTTGTTAGATAATCTTGACCCACAAACAAGATTCAGGTAAGCAAGGATTGAAGAACAGTCAAACGTGATGAATGTACACTAAATAGGCATGGCCAACTGACTTAGTTATTGCTATTTTGATTCAAATTATTAATTCCTGTCTATATGTTTTATGTGCATATTTTGTATGTTTATGTCAACGCATAGACTGATCAGGCAGTGTGATCAAACCGAGCTTTCAGTCTTGTTTATAGTAGTATCATTTCATGGGCAAGATGCTTTTATGCGGAACTTCATTCATTGATCCTGATTTTGTGTTGAACCCCGTAGAATATATGTCCCATCAAACCTTCTGTGAACTCCACCTGGTGTTTATGTTATTTCATCGGGCATGGAGTACGAGCATGTTTCTGGGGACTTACTGGCATATATTTAGCATCTAAACGAGAAAAAATCTAGCGAAAAATCGAATATCTGTTTTTTCCAAATCTTTTTTTTTTAAGAATAATCCCTTGTTTCACGAACTGAATCACTGATATTTTCCTATAATTGCGTGCTCTGTATTTATTTTCCTTTAGGATCATCCGAAAATATTGCGAGGCATTCTCACAAGATATATCTGTTCCATTTCCTTCTGGGACCTCTTTTGGCTATCATTTTTTTTTTTCTATTCGTAGCTTTTTCAGTGATTTCGAATATTTTTGTCTGATTTTTCCTTTTTTTTTTCTTTAAGATCACTTTTATTGCTGATTCCGTGATCTCCGGAAGATGTGAATTTTTTTCATTTGTTCGAATTAATAATGTTGTATGATCTTTGATTCAGTCCATTCACTCCGATTTAATCGTTTCCTCTGACATAATTGTGAAACCAAAGAAGTTTATCTTGCTTGGATTGGTCTTCCCCAAGTATAATAACTCTCTCTCTCTCTCTCTCCTTCTCTCTCTCTCCTTCTCTCTCTCCCTCTTTCTCTGACTCTGTGTGTGTGTCTCTCTCTCTGTGTGCAAGGAACCCCGTGTCATCGTCTTTTCTTACATTCAACTGAAGAATTGATTTAGTTGTAAGCATAATATGAGATAAAGTCAAACGTTGGATGAGCGTGGTTCATTTGGTTACTATCATGCATCTGATCCTCCCTCGTGTCTTGTTTGTTCCATCAGATTTCGACATGTCTGATCCGCAGCAAGAGCATGCATTTGCCGTTGAACAACTTGTTCCAAGACTGGCGGCTCTGAGAATCGAACTCTGCCCTGGCCATATCAGTGAAGGATGCTTCTGGAAGATTTACTTCGTTCTTCTTCATCCCAGGCTCAGTAAACACGACGCCGAGCTTCTGTCCACGCCCCAGGTAAGTCCTCTGCTCACGATTCTTCCGGTTTCAACGTTTTCTCACTATTCCGATTCTCCGATGCATCGATCCGATCCTTTCTTCTTCTTCTTCTTCTTCTTCTTACTATCTGGAAGTTCTGATTGGATCGAAACTCTTGGTTTTCGATGCATCTGAGACTGGATCCGTCCATTACAGATCGAGATCTAAGAAGCTTCCCCTGACGATCACCCTCCTTGCTTAATCTCTTCGAACCTCCGTACAGATTGTGGAAGCCAGGGCTCTGCTGCTACAGGACTTGCAGAATCGGACGAAATCTTCCGCCGGCGACTGGTCCGCGTCGTCGAAGAAGGAAGAGGCCCCGACGGAGGAGGACGAATCCTCGAGCGATCCCGAGACCGTGAAGCATCCTGTCCTCTCCGCGGAGATGAGAATCGTCGACAAGTCCGTCATCGAAGAAGACGCCGCTCCGATCCACCGCGGGAAGGACATCGCGGCGGAGGTCTCCCCGGCGCCGGCGGAGAAATATGAAGACAATGGGGACGAGTGGCCGGAAGACGAGACCACCGCCGTCGAGATCGCCAGTGCGAGGATCGCCTCCGTCCCGATAGCTGACGACGAGGACGTCTCCTTTAGTGACCTCGAGGAGGACGACGACGATAGCCCGCCGCCGCCGCCGCCGCGCGCCGCCGGCGATCCTCCGGCGACGGCCTCTAAGGACGGGAAGCCGATCGCCCTCGACGCGAAAGAATCCAACGAATGGTCCGATCTCGACGACATCGACGCGATCTGATGACCCGTCGGGGAAGAATTATCTATGTAAATAATAACAATAATCCTTTTTCTTTGAAAAAAAAACTGGTGGGACAAATTTTTATTGAGTCATGCGTGAATTATCTCGATAATGGTGAAGCTTAATGACCCTTGAGATCAATTCTTATATATATTTATTAATGTTTATCGCAATTTCAATTAAATATATTTAAATAAAATATTTCCCGGGGATAGTTTCGTGCCCGTCTGAGTGGTAAGATCACCGTCAGTCATCGTAGCGCTAGGCGGTGGCGGGGATCAGGTGTACCAGAGCTGTGAGTGTATGCCAGATCGTGATCTTCAGGGGATCAGGTGTACCGGAGCGGTGAGTGCACGCCAGTTCCATTCCTTTGCCATAGTCCGACGGATTTATCCGCCAGTTCGTCATCTTCCACCTCCGTCGCTCTCCGGTGCCGCCATGTCGCTGTCTTCTCGCGGCAACCCGTCGTAATCGCCGTAACTGATTTTCTCGGCGGTGGTGCAGAAATATCTCATCCTCCTCATCCCCCTGGGCCTTTTTGCTATCCTGTTGGAAGCCCTTGCCTTGGGGGAGAGAAGATCTGGATGAACGCCGGGGGGAAGCTGGGCACGACACGGTGGTCTGCACGCTACCGTATCGGCTGTTCTCTTCGGGTGATCTTCATATGGTTGAGGAATTCGGAGTTTTCTCGGTCGCCATCCTCGCTGTGGAGAGGTTAGAGTTATGATGGGGCTCGCTCTGGCGCAGGCGGCGCTGGATTTCCGGCGGAGGCGGTGGAGGTGGCTGATCCTCGCCGCCGCCGCCGGAGCGTCCGGATATTGCGCGTACCACGTCTACAGCCTCCCTGCTCTGGTGGAGAAGAGGCGGCGGATGGCGAAGTTGCTGGGGGCGTTCTCGTCCTTGGCGAAGGCTGTCTCCGCCTCGGCGGAGACAGTCGCCATTGTCTCCGAGGACCTGAACGGTTTTCTCCGCAGTGATTCCGATGAGGTTCCATCCACTGTCAGGCAAATCTCCAAGATCGCCCGATCAGACGAGGTCGCCGCCTCCGTGTCGAGGATTTCTGAGGCTCTGACTGTGGGATTGATCAGGGGGCACGCCGCTGCCGAGTCCAGATCAGGGAAGGCGGTGGAGTCGAGCTTCCCCGAGCGCATACTTGACAAGCTTTTCTCCACGGCGGGATCCGGCTTCGCCTCGGTGGTGGTCGGGAGCTTCGCACGGAACATGGTGATGGCCTTCTACTCCCCGCAGAACCAGGCCTCGACGGCGACGGCGTCCATCGTACCGGAGTGGGTGAATCTGATCTACGGCGACGAGTTCCAGCAGCTGATCGGCAACTGCATCCAGCTCTTTGTGAGCACCGCCGTCGCAGTTTACCTGGATAAGACGATCCACATCAACACCTACGACGAGCTGTTCTCCGGTCTCACCAGACCGGAGCACGAGGCCAAGGTCAGGGACCTGCTGATCTCCGTCTGTAATGGCGCCATAGAGACCCTCGTCAAGACCTCCCATCAAGTGATGAGCGGCAGCAGTCCAGGTCCGGCTTCAAGCTCATGGACTGACAGAGAAGAAGACACGGAAGCAGAGGTGGAGACGCCACCCATGATGCACATCAGGCGTAGATCCTTTGACCTCAGCGTCAAGGACGGCGGCCATGGCTGGGTAGAGAAGGTATCCTCCACCCTATCCATCCCCAGCAACCGGAGCTTGGTCCTCGATTTGACGGGGAGGGTTACCTCCGAGACGGTGAGGTCCTCCCTCGACTTCATCCTGCGCAAGCTGCTCGATGCAGCTAACCATGGCGCGAAGATCGTCCGAGGGGAGATCGTCGAGAAAGGACTGGATGCGATGAGGTACGTCCTCGCCAAATCCATGATTATCTTCGCTCTATGCCTTGCCCTGTGCCTCCACTTGTTCTCCGGGACGGGCTTCCTGGTTCCGACTACCAGTCTTGATCTTTCCCAAACTAGTAATCCTCTCTGAACATGTTCTTCAGAATTACATGCGGTTCCAGATAATCTATGGCGAGATAGGAATCAGAAGGAAGGAACTAGCTGGTTCTTCCCCATCCATTCGAACCTTGAAGCTCCTCTGTTGAATCTAATCCCAGGTAAATCGCCTGGTTTGTTTTGCATGGCTTGGTGACCTTTCGGCCCAGAAAGTTATCTAAAAATGCCGCAGAGGAGAGCATCAGATGATAGAACATGATTTCTACAGGATGATGCGTTGTTATGATTCTAATTTCTTATAATCTGGGAACCTGACGGCGAATCATCTAATCCTCCCAATGGAAAGTGACTCGAATAATCTCATGATGCTCTCGCTCAATCTTCTTTCTGATCTATTGATTATGCTCCTAGTTCTTGCGCAAAGACCTGGTACTCCACGGGTTGTTCTAGCAAACTATGATCCACAGGTTGATCATATTCGTCGATTTTTTTTATTTTTTTTGGTCCCCTGACCACAGGTTGATCCACAAGGTCTCGCTTTCTCGGATAGAAAGCTGTTTGCAGCATAAATACTTAGAAACATCGATTACTGTAGCTCATCTGTTTTCTGAAGAACTGCTTTTAATCTTCCTATGCAATTGAGAATTAAACGTTGACTTCGATTTTATTATTTATAAAATCAAAAAAAAAAGGATCACATCGTTGGGAGGCGGCCAAGATCACTTTGGCGATGTAATCCTTGCTTTCCACCCTTAACGACATGATTAAGTGATGGTTGACTTTTCTTGACCATATCTGGTGTCCACCGTGGACCAATAATATTCGGCCTCGATTCCATTATTTGCCTCTTCAATGGTCAACGACCGAGACCAGAAAACCCCTCCTGCGCGACTTACCTGGAGTAATTATTGACTCATATTTATGAAACATGCATTCCACGTTTACTGCTATTTATGGGAAAAAAAATCGCCGGCATGGTTTCTAGAGTTTGGTAAACGGTGAAGACATTGAAAATATTCCTGGATAATTATAATTAAAACCCTAATAAAAAATAATTGGCATTGGGCCCGGAGTTATGAAGATTGGGCCCGAACCGCTTCAAAGCCTAGGCCCATTTTATTGTCCTCCTATTTAATAAATAATAAATAAATCAGTCCACCATTCGTATATATACTGTTATTGATTTCCTTTACCTATATTTATTTAATTGAAATATTTATAAAAATTAAATTAAAAACCAGAGAGAGAGAGAGAGAGAGAGAGAGAGAGAGAGAGAGAGAGGGGGGGGGGGGGGAAAGTAGTTAATAATGAGCGGCCAGGGAAGGTAAAATGAGCGGGAGAAGGTAAGTCTGAGCGGAAACCCTACAAAACCCTAGAAAGCAACGATACCAGCAGGCGCAGCGGCGGAGGAACCCGAGACCTGGAAAGGAGACCACCGCCGCCGGCCGGAGACGTCTAACTGCGAGAGCCCCCGGAATCGCCGGGGTTGGCTCCGCCATCTTCATCTGTCCGCTGTTCGGAGTCTGTCCACAGCTCTTCCACCGATCTGTCCCACTGTTTAGGTTTTCGCATAGGGCGCCAGGGGAGTCATGGAATCCTCCCCCTCTCCTCCTTCTCCGTCTGCGGCCTCGCCCCCGGCGGCTCCTGCGGCGAACGGAGCGGCGGTCAGCACCAGTAATGGGGGCGGCGGCGGTGGTAATGGCGTTGGCGAGCCGGGGAAGCTGTTCGTGGGCGGGATACCGTGGGACGCGACGGAGGACGCGCTGCGGGATTACTTCGGGAAGTACGGGGATGTGACGGAGGCCATCATCATGAGGGAGAGAGGAACGGGGAACGCGCGGGGGTTCGGCTTCGTCTCCTTCTCGGATCCTTCCGCCGCCGACAAAGCCATCCAGGACACCGCCGCCAAGCACGCCATCCTCGGCAGGCCGGTGAGTAATCTCTCCCGCGGACGGTTATTTTGATGAGAAGAGTTTGATAATCTAGGAAATGATTCCCTTCTCCGTGATTGTGGAGCCCCCTAGGTCTCGTTTCCGCTACATTCCCGATTTCGAATGGCAAGAAGGAAAAGAAGAACATTAATTATTTGTGATTGATGATTTCTATTGGTCTTCATTTTATCGATTTAATTTCCCTTTTGCAGATCATTCTTCGCTATGGCTTTCTTCTGATGCTGGTTGATTGTTCTTGTCGCTTGATAACCAAGTCAAAATAGTAAAATAAAAACTGGCTTTTCCATGCTTTATTTTACTTGTTCTTCCGTATCTCAATTATTGCATCAATTTTCCTGGACACCATGTTTGGCTTTTTTGTTCCCCCTCTCTCTCTCTCTCTCTCTCTCTCTCTCTCTGTATTTGTATTTATCTATTTATTTATTTTTCATGCGCACAATTCACAGATTAATCTCTGGACTAGAGGGTTAAATTCCTAATGAGTTGACTTTTTCCGCTTGTATGAAGACAGATGAGCCAGTCATTTTGTTTAAATTATGAAGCGGGATGGAATCTTGTGTTGATCTTTTATGAATATAAAATCTCAAAAGCATCTCCTTCCTCTCTCTCTCTCTCTCTCTCTCCCTCTCTCTCTGCCTTCCATCACACGTTTGGATACACGCCATGCACAGATAATCTATGAATTGGAGGTCTCAGTCTCCTGATGACCTGACTTCTTGCTGCTATCAGAACTGGTGACTCTGTCAAGTATAAATGATTATCTCCTCTCTCTCTCTCCCTCTCTCTCTGCCGTGCATCACACTTTGACGTAGACACCATTCGCTGACTAATCTATGAACCAGAGGTGTTAGACTCCAGGTGACTTGACTCTTTGGCCAATATTAAGTTAGATGAGTCAGTCAAGTTTTTCTCCCCACTATCTTTCTCTGTCTTGTCTTCTCTCCGGAATACATTGGTGACCATCATTCACCAAGAAATGCTCGAACGAGCTTGGTTGCTTGACTTTACGCAATATTTTATTACTTATTATTCATTTTTCTGTACACCTGTTCATGCTATTTGACATTTTTATCGTATTTCTGTGTGCCCTCTCTCTCTCTCTCTCTCTCTCTCTCTCTCTCTCTCTCTCACCCTTTCACTGAACCACATTCACATCTCTCAGAGAAAAATGGATGGAGCAGAAAGATCAGACCTTCGGAAGGGTTGACTTTCCCACACCCCCACAAAAGATGATCCTGAGTCTTGTTTTAATTAATAGGCTCGACTTTTTCTTTTCCTCTTTTCTTAATATGAAATCCTCTTTCTCTTTCTCTGTTCCTCCCTCTTTCACTCACTCACAGAAGAAAAATCGATCAATCCGAGAGATCAGAGCTTCAAACCGGTTGACTTTCCCGACTCTTATCCTTTTTTCCAGGTGGAAGTGAAGAGGGCCATCCCCCGGGGCGAGCAGCATCAGAACCACCAGCACCAGTTCTCCGACCACCACCACCAGCACCACGGCAAGCCCTCCAGCAAGAGCGGCGGAGGAAGGGCCGCCGCCGCCACCGGTGACTCCGGCCAGGCGAAGACGAAGAAGATCTTCGTCGGCGGCCTCTCAGCGAACGTCACCCAGGAGGAATTCCGTGGCTACTTCGAAAAGTTTGGGAAGATCACCGACGTCGTCGTGATGTACGACAGCGCCACCCACCGGCCGAGGGGCTTCGGCTTCATCACCTTCGAGTCCGAGGAGTCAGCCGACGGCGCCGTCGAGACCACCTTCCAGACACTCAACGGCAAGACCGTCGAAGTCAAGAAGGCCATCCCCCGCGACGGCGGTGGCGGCGCCGGCGTCGGCGGCGGCGACGGTGGCGGCGGAGGGAAGAACGGGTTCTACTACGGCAGGAGCGCACAGAGCCCGAGGACCGCCGGTAACGGGAGGGGCGCCATCCTCGACGGCTACGGCGGTGGTGGGATGTACCCCCCGTACGGCCACCGGCTTGGCGGCGGCTTTCAGGGATACGGTGCCGCCGCCGCTCCGCCGTACTCCCCCTACGGCTACGCTGCCGCCGGCGCCGGCGAGGGGTACGGCTTCGGAGGCTATGGAGTCGGCTACGGCGCGCCGCCGTTCGCAGGCCCCCGGGGAGCTTGGAACGGCGCAGGATACGTCGTCGGCGGCCGGCGGAGCCCGCTGCCGTACGGTGCCGCCGCCGGCTTCTTCCCGGGGTACTTTCCCGGCGCTGCCGCCGGGCCGTACGTCGGCGTCGGAGGCGGCGGATACCACGGATTTCCCGCCTCGGGAAACGGAAAGTGGACTCAAGCCGACGGCGGCGGCGGCTGCGGCGATCACCAGGTTAACGGAGCTGCTCACGACGAGAATGGGAAATCCGACAACCGGTGATCGATGTTCACGGCCCATTTTTTTCTTTTTTTTCTTCATTCCCTAAACTCCGTCGGTCAAAGATCTTGTTCTATGATGGTTGACTTTTTCTTTCCTTTTTTTTGGCTGTCCGTGTCGTGGTTTTCCTCCCCTCCGTGTTGTATTATAGTTTACTCTACGTGTCCGCGTCTAACGGCCCCTCAAATCTTTTGAGATCTGAAGGTTCAAAACCCCTCGTGCGATTAACTAATTAATTATTATTTTGGATGACTCTCCAAGTGCGCCGTCTTTTGTAAGATTTCTGCGTTGACTTTCCAAAAATATTTCTATTCTGGTGGGGTCTGAGATTCTCTCTAGCTACTTTATGGGTGGAAAGGATATGAAAGCCAATATGGGCCATTAATGGTATTGGGCCGCTTGTTGGAGCCCATATGGTATTTAATTTAATTATTATGATTTATAAAAGTATTTTGTATTGTACCCATATGGAGTCGGCCAAAAGTTTGACCACGTGGCAGTACCGCAGGTACTACCTGGTAAGGAAAATGGGCCTCCAGCTTCGGCCCGGCCCAGAAAGGGGGATATTTTGTATCATATATTAAATGCCAAGGGGAAAATAGCACTTTTTTGTATTGGTAGGGACTTTTTCAAAACCCAGAGAAGGGAAAAAAAATCCTACTACCCTCTAAAATCCCTCGATGACGATGGGACTGCGCAAGTAGCTGGGGAGAAAGATGCCGCTCCAGCTCCTGACCTCTCCTCCCGCCGCCTCCGGCTCCGGACGAGCTTCCGCCTCCTATTTCCTCTTCTGGTATTCGCATAGTCGGTGCCACCACCGGGCGCAGGGGGTGAGCCATACTCTCTCTCTCTCTCGCTCTAGCTCCTCTCAGTGTATATATTTTATCTTCGCTACTTCAGATGATCGGATCCTTCTGGGCCCTGTTTTTTGCAGGCGTCTTCTCTCTTTTTGTCCCGCTTCCCGCGGAGGCTGTGCTCAATGGCGGCCGATTCGCCCAGAGCCATGGTCACGAGCGCCGAGTCCCAGACGACCGGCTCCTCTGTCTGGTCCGGTAATGGCTCCCTTCGCTTTGAGCTGCTAGCTCTACGATCATCCCTCCATAAAACCTCCACAAAATACCCTCGTTCCACAATGCCCGACGCTTCAACCTGGACGTCGGATTTTTCTTTTTTTATTATTATTATTTCTTAAAGGGTAAGACATGTCAGAGTAAGCAAGTCCTCTTCAGGCTACCCTTTAAACTGCTCATCTGTCTGGTATGAGACAGAGATATGAAGGACTTGGAGGATCTATCTGTTCTGGGCGGCATCCTTCTGCACTGGGTTGTGGGGTTTTTTGCATCGGCCTCCATAAGCAATTCTGTGTTTATTTCTCTGGCAATCCTGAGGGAGCCCTTTTTTTTTTGTTTTGCTTCCCTCCTCTGCTCTGTTTGCAATCTTCTTTCTCCTTGGGGTTTCAGACGAAAATATCTATATCTGTAAAAATGTATGTGATGCTCTCTCTTCTCCTCGACTCGGATTGCGTTCCAACACTGGATTTGTGACGCTGTTCCTGGAGCTCTTCAACTCCGACATGCATTTTTCTTGGTGTTCTTGTCTGCCCATATTGCTCGGATTGGATAATTGTACTGATTTTATTTTCTCCTTTGATAGTTTCATTGAAAATGTACATCATTTTTTTTATAAAAAAAGTACTTTTCTGGCTGAAATGTCTATTTATGGCATGCATTTCGGTAACTTATGAAGAGTGATAGATATTTTCTCAGGTAAAAAAAAGAAAAAAAAACGTAGTGGATGACTTGGTTTCTGAGTAAATTACCTCCCTGCTAAAGTCTCCATTTGTGAATGGGTTCTTGTGTCTTGTTAGGTGGCAAACAAGCGTTGATCTCACTCTCGGACAAAAGCGATCTTGCCTTCCTCGGAAAGGGGCTTCAAGATTTAGGGTGTTGATCTCGGCACTAGCTCTTTTATTTTCATTTTTTTATTTTTTATTTTTTATTTTTTTTATCCACCTTTTGACGCCTCTATTATTCAAGTTACTTGAACATGTTCTTGGTTGCAACCTGCAGGTACACAATTGTTTCAACAGGTGGCACAGCATCTGCCTTAGAAAAAGCTGGAGTTTCTGTGGTCAAGGTGGAAGAAGTTACCAAGTTCCCAGAAATGGTGAGTTGGACTCGTTTTCGATAATACCCTCTCTTCTTTTTTTTTACAATATATTGTATTTTTTTAATACAAAGATTCTATTTTTAGCACAACAATTCTGTGCGTATCATATCAAGGATTTTACATTCCCTGAGAAATAATGCGTTAACTTTCTTAGAACTATGCTAGTTTATGCCACATTTATAAACTTCACATGTAAATTGGATATGGTACCTGTTCTTGTGAGAAGCTGCATTCGGTATGATAATCTCAGCATATGAATGAAGCATCTACCCTTACATGTGAAAAATATGGTACATTCCTTAAATCCTATTTTATCCATCTTGGGTTTGCACCCGCTGCATGTGGATCATATAATTCACTTATATGGGATATCATCATGTAAGTGAAGCATTTTTTAGTCATCCTATCGAATAATTCACTTAAAGTGATATATATATATATATAAATTAAATAATAATAATCTTCGGAGCATGGGATATTTCTGAGCAAAGAACTGTGATCCCTTTTGGTCTATGTTTATCTAATCATGGGGCATCGACTCCTTGGGTTTTTCAGCTTGATGGGCGTGTTAAAACTCTGCATCCTAGCATTCATGGCGGGATCCTTGCTCGAAGAGACCACAATCACCATATGGAAGCCTTGGAAAAGCATGGAATCAGTGGGTCACATCTCCCTTTCTCCATTGAAATATCATCAGGGCTGTGACTGGGTGACGAGAGTTGACCAAAGATCCTTCCTTTTCTTTCACCTTCCCCTGCAGGCACTTTTGACATTGTGGTGGTAAACTTATATCCCTTCTATGAGAAAGTCACCTCAACCGGTGGAGTCTCATTCGAGGATGGGATCGAGAACATTGACATCGGGGGGCCCACCATGATCAGAGCCGCCGCCAAGGTATTGGCTGTGCGCCCTAATCTCTCTTCACCGAAGTTCTCTGTACCGCTGACTCATTTGGTTCACCTTTTGACAGAATCACAAAGATGTCCTGGTGGTCGTTGACCATAAAGACTACCCCGAGCTCTTACAGTTCCTGCAGGGAAAGCAAGATGGCGAGCAATTCCGCAGGAAACTCGCATGGAAAGCCTTTCAACACGTTGCTGCCTACGATTCTGCAGTTTCAGAGTGGCTCTGGAGGCAATCAGCAGGTGGTCATCCATCTTTTTCTTTCTCTCTGTAGCTTGGGGATTGCAATCTGGGCAACGCTCGTCTCATGCTGTTCTTCGTGCTGTATAGGTGAGAAGTTCCCTCCTGCCCTGACTGTGCCTCTCACAAGGATATCTACCCTCAGATATGGGGAGAATCCCCATCAGAAGGCCTCTGTTTATGCCGATGACAGCCTCTCCGTGGTGAATGCTGGCGGCATTGCTACTGCCATACAGCACCACGGGAAGGTGAGCTTCCTCAGTACTCCAACTTCTACCCATCACTTTTCATGCCCATGCTGGTAGTTTTGTCTGTGGATGAGGAACATGCAGTGTGATAACAAAGCTCTATCTATCTGATGTGGTACAGGAGATGTCATACAACAACTATCTAGATGCCGATGCCGCGTGGAACTGTGTGTCAGAGTTCCGCAGCCCCACTTGCGTGGTTGTGAAGCACACCAACCCGTGTGGAGTTGCGTCAAGGGCCGACATCCTCGAGGCCTACAGGTTAGCTGTGAGAGCAGACCCTGTCAGCGCCTTTGGCGGCATAGTTGCCTTCAACACTGAGGTAGATGAGGTAAGTCAACGGCAGAGATGATGATGATGATGATGATATGAAGAAGAACTAAGTCTCCTCACAGTGGATCCACCCTCCTTTACACTGCCTTGAAGGACCTTGCTAGGGAAATCCGGGAGTTCAGGAGCCCCACAGATGGTGAGACGAGGATGTTCTATGAGATCGTTGTGGCGCCCGGGTACACAGAGAAGGGCCTTGAGGTCCTCCGGGGGAAGTCAAAGACCCTGAGGATCCTCGAGGCAAAGAAGGTTGAGAAGGGCATGCTCTCACTGAGGCAGGTGGGTGGGGGCTGGCTGGCCCAGGAGTCAGATGATCTGGTCCCAGAGGAGATCGATTTCAAGGTGGTCTCAGAGAAGCAGCCGCAGGAGGGTGAGCTTCGTGATGCAGAGTTTGCCTGGCTGTGCGTCAAGCACGTCAAGAGCAATGCCATTGTGATAGCCAAGGTACGGTCCCCGTCATCTCACCTCCTCTTAGAAGAAAGAATTTGCTCTTCAAAAGGGTGGGTCAGTGTGACAAGAAGTAGACTAGACTAGTAGGCGACTTGTTGAATCCGAGGAGGAAATAATTTGACCAATTTGGTCAAATCATTTCTCATTCCTTGCATTTTTCCCATGGGCGTTGACTAAAATAGCTCTTTCTGCTGAGATTCTGATGCTTATGTATCATTGCCTGCCTGCTTGTTCTTCACATCTCTCTCTCTCTCTCTCTCTCTCTCTCTGATGACCTCTGATCCATCTTGTGAAGAACAACTGCATGCTGGGGATGGGGAGCGGGCAGCCGAACAGGCTGGAGAGCCTAAGGATCGCCTTCAGGAAGGCTGGACAAGAGGCCCAGGGAGCCGCCCTCGCCAGCGATGCCTTCTTCCCATTCGGTACCTTTGCTTCACTCAATCAACTAATCACATCTCATCCCATGACTGTTCCTCTCTCTTCAGGTTGCTCCCAACTACTCAGATCCACACCAGACCTAAGTTGGTCCTATGCAGAAAAAAAAAAAAGCATCTTCCCATATCCTAATAGACTCATAACAATCTTCTGAAGATCAGAAACCGTACCATATCATCCATGCATGATGACTGACTGTGGACTGATTTTCATGCTCATCTTCGATGCTGCAAAAATGGCAGCATGGAAAGACGCCGTGGAAGAGGCATGCGAGAGCGGGATCGGGGTCATCGCCGAGCCCGGCGGCAGCATCAGAGACCAGGACGCCATAGACTGCTGCAACAAGTATGGGGTGTCCCTCCTCTTCACTAATGTCAGGCACTTCAGGCACTGAGCAGAGCCTGGGCGAGCCTTCCCCCTTCCCTCCTATGCAGAGGAGCCATGTTTTGTATTGCTTGAGATGAAGCATGAGCCCTCCCAGAAGCCGGCCTAACAGCAATAATTGGATGCTTTTTTTTGCTCCCTTTTAGGCCATTTTGTTCCTATATGGCAAAGGGAAGGAAGCCCTCCATTGAACCAGGAGGTCATCTTCTTCCTACTCATAGTTTCAGAAGGCGGAGTGGGCTTTGTTGATTTGCTCGAAGGGCTAACAATCTGGGCATTCATGGCAGCTTGAAACTATAGGTTGACACAGAAAAGCCTGCCGGGTTCATTCCTAGGGCTGCAGGGTTAGCAAAAAGGTCTTCTGTCCCTTGTGATACTATTATCATTCTACGAGAAATACTCCAATCATGGCAATAAAAATCTTTAACATAGATCCCTTCAGATTCTATCTACTCTAGAAGATTGCAGTGATGACATCATGATATGGTCTTAGTCATAGGGTTTTAGTGCGAACTGAATTGGGGGTGTTGCCGTTGTGGGATAGTTTTCTACCTTTGTCCATGTCTCCCTTAACTGGGCAAGGCACCGCTTTGCTTGAGGAGATGCTTGAATGTTTCGTTTGCCGCCACCAGCTCAGAAGTGATTCCGGGCTCATTGGCAGAGTGCCCGGCATCCTCAACCACCTGTTCCATATTCATCGCAAATTAGTGAGCGCCTTGATTGAATTCTCTTGGTTAAAGAACACATTACCTTATTGAAGGAAGAAAATACTATTAATTGCCTCCATAGTCTAAACGAGGAAATCGAGAGAGAGAGAGAGAGAGAGAGAGAGAGAGAGAGAGAGAGAGAGAGAGTGGACAAATTTTCTCCAAAATCAGGGATAATTTAGCTTTTGAAACAAGGTGCTCACATTCTGAAGATAAAAGAGGTTGATACTTTGATGAATGGACAAGAATGATCATTACCTTTCAGTTCCAAGCAAAAAGAAGATATTTTTGATAAAACTAAGTCTTAGAATCAACTTCGGTATTCTAATTAATGAAAATCTATTTTCTAAAAATCGACTATTATGACCTAGTTATGCCAAATATCACCAAAAAATTGTTGAGCCGTTCTTCAGTTTCCCTGTTCAGGACGCATTCAAAGCCTCCTAATCAATCCCTTAAATACAAATAGATCCATCCCTACCCAGTCCAAGCCGGGTCAAGGCTCCAACTAGGGTTTAGGCCAGTTAATCCCTGCTAGACATGACAATAGCAAGTACAGCAACAACAAAAAGTTGGCGAAAAGGCATATTAAATGGCATGTATGCTAGACGATGGCACTAGAATGCAGCCGCTACAATAAATAAACATATCATTTTTCCCTCTTTATTTTACCTTAAATTCTGCTTCCGGCCATGCTTTGTGAAGATCCCATGCTGTCATCATTGGACAGCAGATATCGTACCTTCCCTGTTGAAATTGTGATTGTCCCATATGAGTTGCAGCCGAGAGATTACCATGAGCTTTTCCAAAAGGTGAAAATAATTATCGGCATACAATTGAATATAATAAGGAAATAATCGTACCTGTACAATCACGGCCCTTATATGCCGTATCTTACCAACATTATCCAACAGGTAAGAATCCGTAGGGAAAAAGCCTTTGTTTATAAAGTAATGGTTCTCAATTCGAGCAAATGCCTGCTCCATAAACAAAACGCAGAGCATAAGTAACATATTGCTGCCAGAAAAAAAAAGAGTGATATTCTGCTTATTTAATTCATTTTCTATGCAAAGTCGTAAGTACCATCCAAGCTTGATGGCATCACATTATACCAGGAATCCCAATAATTCTGTAATTTTTTTAAAAAAATATCCAAAAAATTCTTCACTCAAGAAGTCGTGGAATACAGGCATGATGAAATAGCAAGCCCTGTGTCTTCTTCAAGCAGATATTGCTTCCTCAAGGAAAGGAAAGTTTGGTAATAAGAAAAATGGAACCTCTTCAATCAGACAGCTTATACCCATACGATCTAATGCGATAACCAAATAGAAACCTGGCTGGATGTGGTTCCCAATAACAATCTTCTTATCATTTCCCGTCGTGATTGAAAAGAAACCTCTGAGCTCAGAGGCAGTGATACGTGTGTGCTCGTGTGTAACGAATCCCAAAATCTAAGTAACGAATGCCATTAGATACTACTAAGCTTGAAATAACTGAACCGGCACATGAGCTAGATAATTATGTAACATATTTCTCACTAGAATCCTCGAAAGGCTAGGCTATGCCCAGGTGCCTCGCCTTGTCAACCAAGAAGTACCAGACAACTGTTTTTCACACCTTCAACACCTTGATATTGTTCTCTTGTTATTTCTTTAACTCCTATTGTTTAACTGCCTTGGAAATTTCCTAGATTCTTAGATTTGCGCGCTGAAGATAGCTTGCAGTTCAAAAGGAATTTGTAGTCTTGAAGTTGAAACCACCTGAAAGCATGCTGCTACATCAAATTTTCAAGCCATTGTAACTGACAAAGAAGGGAAAGGCTTACTAATGAAAAGGAATCATCATCCCCTCTTTTGATGTGATCTTCATTTTGAACAAGATGTGTGGTCATCAGCTCCCAGGTAGTCCAGAACTTGGCAGCCATGTACTGAGCATGGGAAAGAGCAAAAGGCACACTTCAGTGTATGTGTGTAAACATCTCATGATTTATCGGCATATAGAGATCAGGTCATTCCGCATTGTCGTATCATAAACAAGGATAAGAGATCCCAGACAACAGCAACAGAAACATTTATGAGATAAAATTAGGGTACAGGCATAAGATGATCAAAGTCCTATTCTACTCCATCTTCACCCATGAAAAGAAGGATGAAGGTACTACAGTCTTATCTTGAAATATAAATTCAATCCCTTAGTTTCCGGACCCCGAAAAATGTGGAAATACTGTTGGGAGAAGGATATGTAGGTAGCTGTCGATGAATTTCTCCAAAAACAAAAGATAGTGCAGTAAGAAAGAAAAAAAACTACCCTCAATGTGCTGATATACTCAGTTATGCAATAATGAATTTATTTACAACAGTGTCCACATATAAAAGTCCCCGCGAGTAAAATGAGGAACTGATGATTTACATGTTAAATGATATCAAACTAATTTTTTATATTATTATGAAGGTTTAAAAGTCTAAATTCCATAGAAAGAGAATACAGTAAAAGTAGAATAATTCACTGATCCCCACCCTTCCCCAGGGGAACATTTTAGCTCCAGGTGCACAGTCACCAAAAAAGTTGCGCACATTTATATTATTCATGGATCAAGTGACATAAACACGGTCAATAATCAGGTAATTCTCAATCCTAGGCTCATGCGGAGCATGAAGATAGATCTTTTTCCACTACTTGAAATGATATTCGTATCATCATTTATAGATAACAGCGTACAAGTATGTTTGAGCTAGGTTCCACTTATAGGTAGCTTTTCCATTCAGGAAAAGCTCCTCTATAAACATTTTGGTATTTCCGGTCAAAAGACGTTTAGACAAATGCTTGCGTTTCAAACGTACAAGGCTGACCAAAACCATAATTAAAAAAAAAAATCAATTCTCCGTTCACTCATCTCCACCTGTCATTACACACTGCCACTTCTTTTCCAATTACTGCAGGTCAAACTCAGACTTCAAACTCTCAGAGTAAAATGTAATGTCCATTAACAGCCCTTCAGTATTTGGAACCTATCTCTTCTATTCAGATTTTGAATTTCATTATTATCTATTTCATCCTAGGCTTGGCTAAGAACAATTATTGAACTAATATGAATCAACGCCTTAAAGAAATCACTGAAAAAAACTATTTTCTCCAGCTGTATCTTAATTGCGACCTCTTGATGTTATGTAAAATTTGTTCTATTTATTCTTAGTTCCCGGCAATTTAGCTTACGATAAATTTATTGATGCGAATTAATGAATCTTGCTGCTTATTTCAGTCACAAATTTCTAGAAGTTATATGGAAAACTAATCCCAAACATATGACTATCTAACAATTTCACACACGATGAGTTGAACTGATAAGAGAGAATATATGAGGGTGATAAAAATAAGGTCAAAAGTATTGTCTTGCACGAACGGTAACCATTTAAAACTAGTCTGGATACCAGTACTTAGTACTGTCCAATCATTCTGAGAAAAGGTCTGAGTTTAAAGAATAGAACTGACAAGTCATATCAACTAATTCGTCCCTAAAAGTTAATGATGTGGGAATCAATTCGACTTATAATAACAGAAGCATATCAATGAACCTTCTGAGATACATGCCTGTATCTGAGGATCTTCGGACTTCAACCTCTGGTTATATGCCACGATGAAACTGCCCCTTTCGTTCTCAGGAATAAAATTCTTAAAAGACTCCCAAGCTGACAAAGTCATTTACAGAGGATGGTTAGGATATGATTTTCTTAACGTTTGACAGCTGAACTGATGAGTAAATGGAAAAGTACGTGCAATTATGAAATATCACCGCAACCTTTTGATTGTTGTAAACAATAAAAACCAGAAAAATCTCTAATCAAGACTATTTACTCAGGACTCAAAAAACATAACACTAAAATTCCCTGAAAATGTTTGAGAGCCAACAATGTAAGCAGAGCATTTCCCCACCAACAAAAAGCTCCTCCGGGATCAGAGTAAATTTAACATTTCTACTGACATAAAGGAGTTGACAAACTCGAGGATTCATAAATATACCATCTGGATATATAGCCGCTGCACCGCCCTCATAAAACCAGTCAAGTTCTTTCTTTCTCAGCAGGAAAATGCCCCTCAAAACGAGACCAGTCACCTTAATACAGTATTAAGCAAACATGACGAAGTCATTCAAATATTGAAGGCAAGAACATCAATCCAAAAATACTGTTTAAGAAAAGGTTACCTTATCAGGATGTGCTTGACTATATGTGATACCCAATGTGCTACCCCACGAACCACCAAAAACCTGCAATATTTTTCAGAAATGAAGACCTGAATACCAAGGCCCTAGAAAAGTCATGGAAGAAGTTATGATAATTCTGACCTGCCATTCAGGAATTTCCAAATACTTTCTCAGCTTTTCGATGTCCTCAACTAAATCCCAGGTTGTGTTTTCTTCTAAGCAAGCATGAGGAGTACTCTTACCTGAACCTCTCTGGTGAAAAAATGTACTTCAGTAGTGGATTCTATTAAGCAGTATGCCACAAAGAAAATTCATTTTAGCACCATCATAAAAAAAGTATCAATCATGTACCTGATCAAAGAGGATGATCCGATAGAACTCAGGGTCAAAGAACTGTCTATTTTTGGGTGATGTTCCAGCTCCTGGACCACCATGGATAAAGACAACTGGCTGGCAAAGACGAAAAAACTATAATGTGGAAAACTCTAAGAAAAAGCAAATTCCACAGACCATCAACTGGCTGGCAAAGACGAAAAACTATAATGTGGAAAACTCTAAGAAAAAACATATTCCACAGACCATCAACTGACTTTGCGGTTATCTGACGACTTACTAACCTCGAGTGAACTAAGTGTCTTATCTGTGCTGCATATATTCATACCTTAGTGCTAGATGATAGCTGAAGGCATTAATAATCTAACCATGCACACCTAAACATACATGGTGGACAAAATAGAAGGTATCCAAAAGCAAATTGTGGATAAATATTATAAAAAATGATTAAAACCAATGATTTAACAAATATTGCCTCTCTTAGTGTTGTTTCATTGCTGTGAGGATGAGGATAAAGAAGTTGAGAATTAAAATCAATAATAGCCTCGAAATGAACTTGCTGAATGGCAACAAAGATGACCTCTCACTTTCAAACCTGTAAAAATATCTTAATGACGATCATATGTAGTATCAGACTGATGGAAGAGTATGGAAAATAAAAGTCTTTCATTTAAGAATGACTCTCGAGGACAAATAAACTCCTCATATATTGTATCTGATTTTCATGTCTGTGTGTCAGTAGAATGATCGAAATATGAAGGATAGAACTATTTAGGGAAATGAAAGTAGTTGAAATTTTTTCAGTCTAAACTGATATCCCAACCTTGATAACTTAATAAGAATAGTAAATGCGACTCTTTCCACTTCCAACTCTCACTAACTATGGTACTCCTGATGTCACGTAAAATGACATAAAGGCAGAAGATGTAATAAGGATAACATGAGAGAGAAAAGACCAATTGATAACTGAAGACATAGGAATATCGATCCACTCACGTATCCATTAGGATTTCCCGACTGTTCCCAGTATATGGTATGAAGTTCTGAGACCTTCAAGAATCCGGAACTATACGGCTCTATAGGAGGATAAAGCTCCCTACATAAATTTGGAAGGTCCTTCGTTAAATCTGTAGATTCACTAATTTGTTGAGCCATCGGATAGCCAAGAGCCTTAACACCTCGCAGTGGTGCGTATCTTCCTGAAAAAAATCAGAAACAAGCCATATAAAATGAATAAAGCATCCCTCCAAATCAACGTAATAACAAGCATTTAGCAACCAGAGCACGATGCTTAAGCAGCTCATTTATATTTCTCCCGTTCCATTTCATAATATCCCAGACATAAAAGAGCGTTCGCATTTCTATCCACACGAAATCAGAGAATCCCGCACCGGGGAGATCCCAGAGAGCAACACCTGGCAAAGCCTGCTTCCCGTTGGTCGACGCAGAACACAACGAGAGTAATCGGCCGCTCGACGACCAAGAATGATAACTGCTGCTGCTGCTGCTGCTAGAGATGCCGGAGTTGATCAGATTCCTCCGGTGGCGCGGCCAATCCCGGAGGGACGAGTGCAGCGGGGGGAGGCAGTTTCCACTTGCTACTGGGCCACTGGTGGCGCCTAACGACGCCTGCGCCATTTCTATCTCTTCCTCCTTTCCTAGGCTATTTAATATGCTGTAATTGGTAAAATACAAAAGATAATTATAACATAAACCGGGGGCCGGGCCCGGGCCGGACTGGACTTGATAACCGGGCCTGGGCCTAAAAATAGCCCCGCTGACTAACACTTTAGGCTAGACTAGGACCGGGAAATGTCGAAACTCGACTTCCCTGCACTCCCACGCGAGCCCCACCCTCCTAGAGGTGTTTGGGTCTGAGCCTTTTTTTCGGGCCTTTTTTAGCTTCGGGCCTAAAAGAACTAAGCCCAAGAGATAAAATAAAGTCCAAAAACGCTTATAATTGACAGCTTCCGGTCCTCTTCCATACGCTCAAACAGAGGTCTTAGGTTGACCATTTTAGTGGACCCCACTGCTCATATCCTAAGAACAAAAACGTTTCTTCTTATGTCTCGAATGAATATATATATAGATACATATAGTTGGACCTTGGTCTTCGGCCAGTTCTATATCTAATCTTATTATCCAAACTTTTCCTAAAATGGATTAACTAGGTAAAAAAGTCAACATATGATCATGCATACGGCATAGTGGAAGTCAAAGATATGACGATTTGATGCCCAGTTCATTAGCATAGTGGAAGTCAAATATGTATATACCTATACGACGTAGGATTTTTGTAGAAGCGGGAATTGATATATCTACATCTAATTTAGTATTGTGAATAGTCAAACTGATGATAAAATTAAATACGTTTGAATCATTTAATGATAAAAATTATTTTATTGACCATCATTATTTTAAATTAATATTAAAAATGTCCTCACACCCCTGTGGAGCTATTGAAATCAGTAGACTTCGAGTGAGAGAGTGAGAGAGAGAGAGAAACACAGAGAGAGAGAGAGAGAGAGAGAGAGAGCACCCATAAACATCACTCAAACCTGAGTCATTAATCAAATTAATCGGATTAAATGACGCCAAAAGAAGACTAAGTAGACCACCCTGGACATCAGGGTAAGATTAAAGGAGGACCTCTTTCTCTCTCTAAGAAGTCATGGCTTTTATTTTCAAATTTCCACATAAAATACAGTACACGAAGATATTTCCTAAAAAAAGGAAGTATCATGATGAATTTCTGGCCGCTGTAGATCTGATGAATGCTTGTTTGAGATCTTCCAGTATAGAAATCGTATGAAAATCTATGTGACCAAGGGGAGACAACGGATTCACTAAAGATACTATTTTAGGGTTCATCTACAGGAATAAGTTAATGAGAAATATACCTTTTTTTCTGAGAAAATGAGAAAAAAAGAGGGATCAAGTGGCGGCCTGTACCCCACTCCATGCTCTATCGTCGTCATTGTTGAAGCGGCTCCTCTGGTCAGAGCGGGTCTCCTGGAAGTAGGAGACTCCCGACCACACTCCACGAACCAGGAGGATGCTGATGAACACCATACTTCCGAGGGTGCAGACCACCTGCAAGATATCACATATGATTAGGGCTTATAGTTTGAAATAATTTATGTCATTATTATTAGTATTTTTATAATGGGTGAATGGTCTTGGATAATATGAGTGCATGCCAAGCGCTAAGTTCAGCTTAACAAAAAGGTGGAGAAAGGGAGGTAACCATGGCTGAAGCTTCTTCATTCTTTCGGTCTATGAAACAACATGATCGAGCATTCGGAAGGTCTGATCATATTACATTATTATTTTTTCCCTAAGATAAATGGGATTTACTCCCATTTTAGTATGCTAGGAGGAAGCAAAGGTCTAGGAGGATACAGTCAACATCAAGTACCGATAGTTAGAAATGGCAAGAGAATGGTTGCATGAGTGAGGGAGGAAGCATTGGAATCAAATAAGTAACACGTAGGTTACAAGGTAAGGTTTTTAGTAGGTTTAGCATGGAATTTACTATAATCAGAATATTCCACTTAACTGGTTTGAGGTAATTACCTCTCAAACATAATGTCTCAGTTTATGAGATGGCTGAAGCGTTATTGGAAGTCAAAGAGGTCATGCTAATCGGTAGACTAGAAAAAAAACGTACTGAGAAAGATGCTAGTGGTGGCAATTTTTGCAGACTCGTGATTTTGTTCATCAAATCTGATTCTAGGAGGATTTCTCTAGATCATGCCTTCAATAATATCCCAGATAATTTAATGCTAAAATCTCTCAACCATGTGAAGATCATTTGTAGATATTACAGTTTTATAGAAAAAATATTTCGTTTCCTATGAAAGTAGGCTAAAATCGGAACCAAAACTCGACTCTAATGACATAACCACGAGAAAAAAGGATGAGGAAGAAGCAACAGGAAAAAAAATCATTTTCTGAGATGTAGCACAAGTTGGTCGTATTTGATAGATATCAAATACCTTTACATGAGAAATAATATTTTCTCTTACCAAGAAAAGCTCCTTCTGTTTTGGGTAAAACAAACAAAAAAATACATAAATTTATAATTGAAGAGTGTTGCAGCTCCACACCTACCATCCCGTTCTCCCACAGCACTTAGAAAAGGGAAAAGGTTCAAAGACAAACAGGACAGAGGAGAAGATATAATCTAGAGCCTCATTCACCAAATATACTAGCCATTCACATGAACGAACTCAGACATAACTACTGAGGAAGAAAGGAAATGGGAAGGGACATCGTTTAATATGAAATCTCAATGTCACTCTGATAGTTCCAGGGTTACCCCCTGATCCCATCCATCTAACTGAATCGCCCATGTATAACAAGCAATTGGAGTCTCTCCCTTAATTACAGAGAATGTAGAAAGACAGCATCTCACCGAATACTCACATCCCACTGTGTAATCCATACAGGAAAAAGAATCATCAGCAAAAGTTTCTCATTAACAATCCATGATCCAACGGAGCGTCTGCAACGTACTCATCACACCATCTTGGGGAGACGAGCATCAGCTGGAGTAAAGTGTCCCCACTCTGTAAGAAAACCTACCTTCTTTATACATCACTACCTTGATTCCGAGAAAGGACAGGGTGCAATTTTTTCAGAAAAAAGAAAAGAAAGATGGAACAGGGTGAAAAAAAAAAGGCTTGGCCCAGTTACAGATTGAAATAAGACTCTCTGGCCGTGTTATTTCTAGATGAGATACTTGATTGAAACCACGACACAGTTTATTCTCACATGTATCAACTTGGTCTGATGATTAGAAAGATGATACTGATGAAATAATACAATAAGGTTACACATTCTGTGCGATAACTTCATCTCACAGACGTAGGCATACTGCCAGGCAGAAATGAGAAACCTCAAACACGAAAATGTGAGCGCTTATAAAAGAGTACCTCTAGGAATGCCTTGAGAATCCATAGGAAAGCCAGTACCAACATGCCATCAACTGAGAACCCCACCTGATTTCCCATGAAGTGAGCGGCAATAAGATTGACTGTCGAGAAATTATGCCGTTACAAATGAAAAATGGAATCATCTTTGTACCAAATGCACGAGGGATCGATATCAAAAATATTGATTACTGCAGACGTAGAGAAGAATTTCTGACTCAAAATTGACGATGAAGATTGATCGCTCACCAGTTTGGTGGGTATGGGAACGGGGAGGACGGATCTGACGGCCTTCCGCACCCGCCGCGAGATATTCCGGAAAACATTATGAAGGAAGCGAACCAGAAGGTCCAAGCTCCTGTCCTCCTCTTCCCCCTCGTAATCCTCATAATCCCCATCAGAAACGTACTCTTCCTCATTGAGCGCCTTGATCTCTCGCCATCTACCGGCGTCAGAGACCACCACCACCGTTTCCTGATCGAAAACCGAATCGATCGATTAAGCACCACGCACTCCTAGACACAGTTGACCGACAGAGACAGAAGGGGAGAAAGAGAGAGAGATAGAGGTACCCACCGGCGGGAAGTTGGGGTGCCGCCTGGAGCTGTAGCTGGAACTGGAAGCTCGTGGAGGCCAGACGCTCTGGCGGGGGGAAACGGCGGCTCGGAGAAGGCTGGGAGGCGTCCGCCGCCGGTTCTGCGGGTTCGAACTGGCGGAGGAGAAGAAGATGGCGGAAGAGGAATTGGAGGCGACCGCCATGGCGAAAGCTCGGCGGAGGCGTCGAGTTCAGGCATAATCTAGTCTTATATGGGTAAAAATTAACCGATAATATTAATCTTATATTTTTTCCAATTACGACAATAACTTTATAAATTTAGTTTATATTAATCTAATTTTCATCAACGGGGGAATATTCATAGTCTGACGTGTCAGACCAGGGTGTAAGCGAATTATTAAGTTATGAAGGTTATATTTGTAATTTAATGTTTTTGATACGGTTCGATATGGTAATTGACTTTCTCCCGCCATGGCAACCACTGGGCCAGGTTTAGGGTTTTGCAAGCCGATTCATTCCGCCTGGTTCGCTTGCCGGCGAGTAAACCTCCTCTCCTGGAGCGACTTCTGCTCCTCGCACTGCTTGCGGCGGCTTGTGGAATGCGGGTGTCTCATCTGTGTTGCGCCTCGCCGTCTTGCTTTCTCGAGTGTCGCCTTCTCCGGGGTTTTTCCGCGGCCATTTCTGAAACCTAGCTGCTCGAGTATCACCTTCAACTTGCTGAAGGGGGCGGCTGTCGTATCTCTTCTCCGTTTGTAGTGAGCGTCTTCATTCTTCTGTTGGTCGGACATGGGGGAGGTGTCCGAGGGAGTGGCTGAGAATGTGGGCGGCGGGGACGAGGAAAGGCTGAGCTTCGAGGAACTGGGCCTTGACCCCCGCCTCATTCGCGCGCTTTTGAAGAAGAATATTGAGAAACCGACTCTGATCCAGCAGGCAGCAATTCCTTACATTCTGGTAGGTCACAGGCTTGCTCCGCATCTCTGGAGGCAAAAGTTGAGTTGAAACGGTAGAATTAATGGGCTTCTATCTGCTATCAGATTGGTAAAAAAAATTATGAGGCTTTTAATGTAGTTACTTGGGATATGTTCCCCCTATCCCTTTCATCTGAATTATCTAATTGTCTCTTTACGTCTACGTTCGTCATTTTTTTGTGAATTTTCTCATGGATAGTTTCTTTACAGGAAGGGAAGGATGTGTTTGCTCGGGCACATACAGGTTCAGGGAAGACTTTTGTTTACCTTCTTCCCATGTTCCACAAACTGTTTGCTGAGAATGGTCTGAAAAAGTCAGGACCGTGCGTCTTCATTCTTGCACCATCGCGTGAACTTTGTCAGCAGGTATGACATTAGTCTTATGGTCCTTACCAATAACTTCAAGTCAGTGAGTGCATTTGTTGTTTCTTCTCTTTGTCGGGTTGTCTTGGAACGCTGAATATATTATTAGCTGTATGAACTTCGTTGAAATTGATTCCCTTGCCTTTTTCTGTTGAAGGTTTACTCCGAGGCATTATCCCTCTTGGAATACTGCAGAGTCCAATTGAAAGTGGTGAAATTGACGAAGGATATGACGGTCAAGGACCTGGTAGGTTCATTTTTCTCTGATCCTGCTCGTGAGGTATTGATTTCTAGGGAGAACTCACACGAAAACTTCTGACAATCAACAGAGGAAACTGGAAGCCTTCTTGTTAATTTTTAGTTATTTTATGATACGTTGTTCTCTTCACAGACTGCAGCACTAGCTGACAATCCGGAAGTTGTGGTGTCGACACCAGCGTGCATTCTAAGTTGCATTTCACGTGGCTCTCTTCAAGTGAAAAATATACAGGAGTCACTTTCAATGTTAATCCTTGATGAGGTGTGAAGTTAATTATGATGTTATTTTTGTGAGAATTATAAAGTTTATATGAATGAAATATGAATTCGAGACACTATAAGCCTACTATTTTGGCATGTGTTATTTCATTGTCTGGTTTTATTTAAGTTAATGTTTGCCTCATAAGTCAGTGGTCGTAGACTATGTTTCCTCAACTAAGTTTTTGCCAGTCATCCTGTGCTTTCCTATTTGTGAAACTATTGTGCAAACTATTGTGAAACTATATTTCACGTTTTCTGTCATTGGAATCATTATGCATAGTATATTCGAGATAAGGAGCGGCATGATAGTAAATTTCCTCACATACGTCCAGCAGAAAAAGCGCCAAATCCACAGTTCTCTCAATCTTTTTTTTTTTATTTGTTTACTCTTTGCCCTTTGTTTCATCTTCTCCCGTGGGACTACGCTGAGAACTCGATGGGAGGGAGGACTCAATGTCGTGACTTTTCCTGAGAGTATCTCTTCAAACTAATTGATTTTTCCTCTATTATTATCCCCATAACTGTTCAGCAGTGCTGCCTGTGATTACTCCTGCGTGAAAAGTTCAAAATCTTAGTTGAATCTCGGGTTCCACAAATAACTCACCTGCACTAATACTATTCATTTTTCTTCCAACTAATTCAGTTCAGGGAGCTATATTTTATTGTGTCCTCTCAGAGAGTTTTATCTAAAACCTTTTGTAAGCCAGTCTATCGCTGTCAGGTGTTGAAATTGGTCTCTAGCTGTTTTGCATGATTCTCTTGGGAGGTTCATTGTTATGTGGACTGTATACATTTTTTAGTGACGAAGAGCAGAAACCAGTCTTTTTAATGAAATGAAACAATGTTATTAAATTTAGTACATTCATCTATCGTAGACCTGCACATTTTTAAAAATAAATAAATCAGGGTTGACTGTTTCTAAAATGATCATCTAACATGTACGTTTGTTTTTACTGCAGGCAGACTTTTTATTTGACTACCAGCAAGGAAATGATTTGCAAGCTCTTGTCCCTCATATCCCTCGGCGTTGTCAATGTCTTCTCATGTCTGCAACTTCTAGGTTTGCTATTTTTTCTTACACTGTATCACTTTTAGTTTCTAATAATTAGAAAGGATAAAAATCAATTCATCTTCGTTATAATGATGAGGATTTGACTTTATTGTGGCTTAGGTTGTAGTTGCACTTTGCATTTCTTTTTTGAGCATACTTAAATATAGTACATATTCTTTTCATCCTTTATCAAATTTAATCGGTAGTGCTGTTCACTTTCCCATAAAAAAAATGTTACATCATTTTCACATCAACTGTAGCTGCTCTTTGTTAGGCTCGTCTCCTTTGGGAGTAGTCTTCGGAAATGTCTCCCTTGGGAGCAGTCATGATCAGATGGGTTTTCAGTGAGTAGTGTATCTTGTCAGTTTTTTTTCCATTCCTATATATAATATAGAAATCCCTTTTATGTAATGATCTCCACAATTTAGACAGAAATGGAATAGTGATGCGGGGATCTTGGGTGCAAACAGGTGATATTTTAGTAGGTAAATTCATGCCTCAGATAGCAAACGAATTGTCGTACGCCTAAGTTGTAGAATTTGCATTATTGCATGGTTTTTGTTGCTGTTGGGCTTTATGGATCATTAATGATGGTGCCATCTAGAGAAGGAAACCCATGGGAGAAAAACCCACGTAAGTCGATCATATTTCTAAGAACGTAATTTGAGTAAGTGGCTATGCCAAGAATGTTTCCTGTTTTGTGTGGATAAGGGTTTTATCTAAAACTTTACATTTGAGACTTTTTCCTCTTTTGATCTTAATAGTTTTGTAGAGCCTAATGCAATCTTTCTCTTCTTTTCATATGATGATGGCTACCAGTGATGATGTTGAGCAGTGGAAAAAACTTGTGTTACACAACCCAGTGACTATAACCTTGTCCAATGATGAATCCAAGGATAATGATGATATTGTACCAAAAAGCATTCAACAGTTCTGGGTAAGCAGATCATAATCATTGCCAGGTGAAATGATTCGACTATGCTTCAATAATCTGGCTAATAATCTCATTGTGAGCTTGGGTCTACGGAAATGCCAATTTACTTGCCTTTCCTTTCCACTGGAGATTTTTTTGTAAATTAGTATTATATAGTACATCTTGTATGAAGTTATATAAAGTGTGTTTTATGCTGTGTAAACTAGGATATTTATGTTCTACTCAACGATTTATATTTTCGACATTTGCCTAACAAAAGTTTTTAGATTCTAGTTACCAATTTTTTCCCTTTATTTCTGGGAAGCCTTATTTTTACTTTGTCAGAACACGCTCTGTGAGCTTCTTTATCTGCCATTTTTTGTACATTTTCGGTTTTTTCATGTCTTTATCTGCCATTTTTCCCACCTCCAAGCATGTTTATCAAGGCTTTGTTGTACTCCCCTGATCAGACCCTTTGACCAAACCCGGAATTCAATCATCTAACTTGGTTCTGTATCTTTAAAATGCTTAACTCCTGAAATAAGATTAGGACTTTGTGTCATACTAGTGACTTAATGAATGTCAATATCTAAAATTTAATTGAAATGTTTCTTCCATCTCCAGGAATGTTTGATTCGTGCAATTTTTTACCTCATTTCATGACTAGTACCTCAAGCAGATGCCAATTTTGACAACTGACGAGGGAAGTGCCATGTGGATTTATTTTCGATGCTCCAGTTTTTGTTAATTTGTAAATATCTTTTAATTTTTCCTAAAACCTTGCGAAGTATGCTATCTCTCTCTCTCACTCTGCATGTACATTTTTAAATAGGGATTTTTTTTCACTGGAAAATTCCTCATCTTGGTCATCGAATAATCACGCATATCTGTAATAGTATTCTATTGATAGAACCTGCTATTCTATGTTTATCGAAGTTCCCTGTGTGCTAGTTTTTCCAATACGAGAAAGCAAGCACATCGTTCCATTCTATCTCATTATCTCATGATGCGTAGTTGGGTGTTTCTCTTTTTATTGGATCAGCTTGCATATTAAATTTGCACATGAAATATAAATAATACTCTTTTCGTCTTATTTTTGCTTTCAGATTTCATGCAGCAGTTCTGATAAGCTGCTTCACATTCTTGCACTTCTGAAGTTGGGACTGGTTCAAAAAAGGGTGTTGATATTTGTGAATTCTATAGACAACGGTTATAGACTGAAGTTGTTTCTGGAGCAGGTAAGGCTACTTTTAACATTGCTTTCAATGGAAGTGCGATGTTATATGCTGATTAGTTTTCTTTCTCATTTAAAGTTTGTGGAGATCGATTTCTGTTTCCTCTTTAACGCAAATCCGCGAAATAGGTGTCTTGCTGGACAATGTATGAATGGCAGTGTAATGATATAATAGAGCATCTCATTGGCTATTTAAGTCTTTTCTTATACTGTTTTTCATAATTCTGCAGATCATCACTGCATTTTGTGTTAATAACTTAAATTGTGATAATTTCGTGTTAATACATTGGGACAATATCTTATGCATGTTTTTTGCTGGTTTTTTTTTTTGAAATACTTTGTTGTGGCAGTTTGGGCTGCAGTCTGCCGTCTTAAATGCTGAATTGCCACAAAATTCGCGTCTTCATATTCTCAAGGCAAGTCATGAAATCTGTCTTTTTCTTTTTGTTTCATCATTTTTTTCCATAGATGTCGTGTTCTGTTTTATGAAAAAAATCTTCTTAAAATTTACTTTATGGATATGCTATATTTTTTTTGTTTCATTTTTTATCATAGTCCATTGTCCTAATTTCTTTCGTGATACACAACACTGAAGTTATTGTAGCACGTGTCTTGATCACAATTTCTGTGCGGGTATTTATGATTTCTCTATGATAAGGTTGCAGACGAGACTTCATATTTTTGTCAAGTATTAATAATTAAAGGAAACTGGAGGGTTTTCAGTTCCTCAGTTTGTTACTTTTTATGTTGTTCAGTATGTTCAATTCATCCCTTTGTATGCTATGATTTCCTGCATCTGGGAATTTCTTCCTTGATTTGATATCCGTGATTTCTTGAACCAACACAGGTTTCACATCATATCTTCATGTAAACATGATAGCTATTAAGCATTGTGGTTTCTGCCCGCTAATTTATTTTCGATTTTCTGGTTACATTAGGAATTCAATGCAGGGTTTTTTGATTACTTGATTGCTACGGATGACAAAAAGATAAAGGAAGAACAGAATGCCAAAGTGGATCATGCTCGATCAAAAAAATCTAAGCAGGCAAAAAATAAAGCAGATACTGAATTTGGTGTTGTGAGAGGGGTTGACTTCAAAAATGTCTACACGGTAAGTTATGATTAACGATTACCATAAAAATGTAAGAATGGCTGTATTCTGTTGCTATATTTCTTCATCTGATTTACTTTTGGTATGTCTTTCTTTGTGTTGTAATCACTAGAGATTGTAATGCATATTTTTTAAATTGTCATATTTCAATAGCTTACCACTTCAATCCTTCGGTGTGATTAGTATGTTTATGCCTATTAAGTGAGAGTAATAACTACAGACTTAATTGAGTAGACTTACAATGGATGGAAGATTGAAATTATAGTATTGTAAATTTTGCGAAAATGTTTCAGAAAAAGAATGAGAAGAAATAAAAATGATTCTAAGTTGATTCTGCCATATTTTTATTTAGTATTGTCATCATCTTGAAATCGGATGGCTGAGAATGGCTTACCATAGGAATCTATTCAGATTGGAATCGATGCTTGTTGATTAGTTCCAAGGAGCTAATCTGATCCCCCTGATAACTTATTGGAAAAACAGTCAGTCAACTTTGATGTCAGCCAACTTTGCTTGGGTTAACCAATTTTTGGCCATGTTAGGCGTTCAGCTGATTTCAGTGGGAGGTAGAAGCTATGAAGACGGAAACTAAGAAGAGAGAAGAACAGTTTGGATGCTGCGATTGCCAGATGGAAGACCAAAGGGTGATCTCAGTGGGACGTTTAGTTGTTTTATCCAAAGGGTGAACAATGCCCTCAAGTCCTTCTATTATCCTGTTTTCTCCCTCAGTACTTCCCGGATTATATGATCTCTTCACTAAGTGGCTGCTCTTCTTCAAAATGATTATTTTAGGAAACTAAAACTGACACTCCAAACTAGCTGGAAGCGTTGATGCGTGAAGAGAGAAGAAGAAAAAAGGGAAAAATATGACTGACAGACCAAGTATAAAGGTGCTGCGTCAGACCTAAATCTGCGCTGGGATTTTTGAAGTCGATAATTATGCCCTTAGTCTGAAAATACCATCTAAAGATGATGAAAATAATAAGTGTTGTCCAACTTTTACACCCCTCTCAAGCTGGTAGAGGATATCTGTCACACTCGACTGACCTACTGAGTTAACTTGGAAGACCATCCCTTATGTAAAAAGAGCTGCAATTTTATCTCCTGAAACTCTTTGAGAGAATACAACTTTGTATAAACCGATTTTTCTCTAAGAAAATTACCGTCAATTCATGTGTTTGGTCTTTGTTGTGCTGCTTTGCCATCTTTGGCTGAGTTTGAATTGTAGTTTCGCGTCAATGCCATAGCCTCCTAAGTAATCTAACTACCATAATTCACGTTAACCATGAATTCATTCCTCTGGGCGGCTCAATTTCTTCACTCGAAAATTATATTTACTGTTTCTCTTGTTAATCACAGATTTTAACTCCCTATAATGTTGAATAGGATGTGGAAGACTTCTTGTCCTCGAGAGACTGTGGAGCTAATCTTATTCGATATAGCCTTTAATTCTCAAATGATCGATTTATTTCCTAGTCCTACCTCTATCTTAGACCTCTGCCAATGGAACCCTGATTCTGACTCCTAGGATGTAGAGATAGAGGGGATGACCCAAACGCAGGGTGGGAAGTGTGCCAATTTTACTGTGTATCTTCAAGCCTCTACAGTTTTCTATATTTGCCTCTTTTATTGCTATGTTAAAAAAAAACCTTGGGCAATAGGGATAGTCCATGACATGCTTGCCTCGTTGCCATCTTTTTTTTTTTTACTCAGTGACTGATTTTGCTTCCCTTTTCATTTTAAGTAAAGTACTGATCTTTATGACAATTGTTACCAGGTTATAAATTTTGACATGCCTCACAGCTCGTCAGGATATGTGCACCGGGTTGGCCGTACTGGTCGAGCAAACTCTGCTGGCACATCCGTCTCTCTTGTAAGTTTCTGTAGACACTGGAGCTCCTCTGCACTGTATTCACAGAGAAGTGTACTTCTCTATTTCATCTTGGATAGGTTTCTGTGAAGAAGTTGTGATACTGTCTTCTAGTATGCTTTATGGTTGACCAAATAATCTTCAGATATCGGTCAACAGTCCAGAGATATGTCAACTTGTGCCCCAATGTCTCCATACCTGCTTCTACCTGGATTCAGTCCTCTCTGCCTCATGCAGACTCTAAATCTGAATTACATCTCAAACCACCCCCCTACCGATTATAGATGAAGATCATTATTTTTCTTGCTTCTCTTTCTTGCTTGGCGGGTGAAAGCCTGAACGAAATGCTGAATTTTATTCTTATCATTTGGCCAACAGGTCTCTCCAGAGGAGTCGAAGGTTTTTGATGATATCAAGATCATGTTAGGAGATAATGACAAGGAATCTGCGAAATCTCTTTCCCCATTCCCTTTTCTTACTAAAGGTGCGGTGGAGTCTTTAAGATATAGAGCTGAGGTAAGGGTTTGCAATTTCCAATTTCCTATTTTAGATCAGCGTGATGGAATAATCTGCTGTTCTTGATAACTCGTAAATAATCTACTGAAAATTTTCCAACACTGTTATATGTGGGAGTAAACATCTCTTTGTCCACAGGATGTTGCTAAGGGCGTAACAAGAGTTGCTATAAGAGAAGCGCGCGCCCAGGATCTGAGGACTGAGATTATTAATTCTGATAAGTAAGTTCAAACCCCTTTCCCATTTAATTATAATGTTTCTGTAATTGAGTTCTAGATGTCAGAGGGGATAGTAGTCCTTAGAGCGATGCAAAGTGCACTTTGATGAATATGACATCATACTTGTATCATAGACGTGCTATTTAAATGATAATATATTCATAAATTCACACTGGATTAATATTTAATCCAACTAATGACGTAACATATACAGAAAATAAATAAATTGGGTAACCTTTTTTTTCCTTGATTATTCAAAAAGGCCATAAACAATTTCAACTTATCTATTATTTTATGCATTATACAAAATGGATTTAACTGGACCAATACCATTATATTCTTGTAGTATTTCTAAGAGTAGTTCTTATATTAGTGGGCCTGGGAGTAATTTTATTTACCAATCCAATGTATTATGTTTTTTCTTCTGGATAAACGAAAGTTTGGATGATAGACTGGTCAACTTTACTCTAGTGATCAGTTTTCGCTTTAATACGGTGCACGGATTGAATGGTCATAATAACTCTGAACGAGGAAAATGATAATGTGAACAAAAACTCTGAATTATTTAAAGTGCTTGATTATTTTTCCTATACTCCTGGATTTCTGTTCTGGGTAAAAAAATATGCAATCCTTTGAACTATGATTAGCATGTGGGCTTCTCTGGTCACATTTATATCTTTTATTTTCAGGTTAAAGGCCCACTTCGACAATAATCCGAGAGACCTAGGTAATGCAACCACATGGGCTTTATATTTTTTCTCGGATTTATTTATTTATTTTGTTTCATCTGGTAAATAAAAATTCGCGAGTTTGGCAGATATTCTGAAGCATGACAAGGTGCTGAGCAAGAAGCCACCCCCTCTCCATCTCCGAGAGGTGCCGGAGTACCTCCAAGACTCCACCACCAAGCAGGTCAGCAAGATCATCAAGCTCTCCAGGGCTGCCATGGACTTGAAGCCGCCAAGCCGGCGGTCCAAGGCCAGGAGAAGGCTCGGCAAGAGCAAGGATCCCCTCGCAACTCTCCCTTCTGATGTAAGATAAAAAAAAAATCTCATTAGCTTCTAATTACGTAGTGATCTAATGAATAGGCCTTGTCCAGCTTGGGCCCTGGGGGAAGAAATCTTTCTTTGGCCTTTGAGAAGTTATAATTCCTTCTCCTGGTGAGTAAATTCTTTCTGACTGGAAATCTTCAGGGGAAGAAATCAGGCAATGGTTGGATGAAGAGGAAGGCCAGCGGCAGTGAAGCCAAGAGGAAGAAGGCGAAGCAAGAGGAACCCTAAGCAAGAGGAAGCCACCATGAAAACGGGGGCAAGAAGTCTTGTAAATTTTTTTGGTGTGGCGTATTATTGTTTTTGATTAAGTCTGGTGGGTAATTCATAATCTATTATTTATATTCTTTCCTGACAGAAATTAACAATTTTATGTAATATTTCACGTTGGATTTTTTTTTACTGGGTCTGAATTTAAACGGGAATTATGAAATATCATAATAGTCATTTATTTTCATTAAATTTGTTATACTGTAAACTTGCCTCTTCGTAATCACCCAAATTTTATTCAATATGACCCAATTTATGGGCCATGTCACCTCAATTTATGCCACATTTCACTAAGTTCCAGATGGATCTGATTTTTCAGAAAAGTCCTCGTTTATTTGTTCACTATATTATATATCCCCGTATTTTTTTAACATTCTTCATATGCAAACTCCAAAGCTTCTATGAACTCGAAATGGGCCCAAATTAAACAAAGGTCCTCGTTCATTTTTAGCCTGTTTTATGGATACTATTTTTTTTCACCCTTCATCTTATGATCTTTTTACTCTGCAGCGAGGTTACAATTATAATTATTTTTAAACGGGGTAAATTTCACAAAAACGGAGAGATTATCCTATTTGGGCCGGCACAACTTGAATTATAAGGCCCATTAGGCTTGACAGTTCCAGGTCTGTCATTTTGAAGTAAAAAAAGGGTGTCTTTACGACGGAAGGGATGATTGTCCGCGTCAGCAATGAGGAAGAATCCAAAATGTGGGTCCCACATTTTGTCACTAGTCGGCCATAATGGGCTCGACCGGACCAGGCCTGCTACTGGTCAATCCGTGAGACCATTTCGGGTTTGTTCGTGGTCAACGGCCCGGCCGTACATGGCCCAGATGCGGCCCGTTGGGGGGATTTTAGACCGGAACCAAAAGTCTAAAAGGGCTACGGGTCGACGTTAAGATTCTCACGAACAGGCCCGGACAGGGATAATATAAGTTCGGGCCGGGCTGAGTTTTAAGTGGCCCGTTTAGAGCCCCTATAGGGTGTAAGTGGGGAGTCAAGCCCTAGGTAGATATGAGAGGCCCTGCAGGGATCCGCCGTGAAGTGACAATAATCTGTACTCTCTCTCTCTCTCTCTCTATATCTATCTATCCATATATATATATATATTTTCCTCTCTGCCTCTCTCTCTCTATATTTCTCTGTCTCTGTCTCTCTCTATATATATATCTCTCTCTCTATATTTCTCTGTCTCTGTCTCTCTCTCTATATATAACTCTCTGGTCTCTGTCTGTCTCTGTCTCTCTCTCTCTTGAAGAACTTGTCATTCGTGCTGCCGGCGGCGGAGAGGGAGAGGAGGGCGGTGGGACGAGGTGGAGGAAGAGAAGGGGGCGCAGGACACATGGAGTGCGGCTTGACATGCTCTCGTCTCCGAGCCAACCACAGAGACCTCCTCATCTCGTCTCCGCTTCACTTCTCCTCTTCCCAAGGGAGGCCCTGTCTGCAGGGCTCATCGTTCCTCAAGGTCTCTCTCTCTCTCTCTCTTCCCACTATAGCGCATGGTGTGGGTAATCATGCAGTTCCAGGTTCCTGTGTGGTCTCTAAGAGATCGGGGTCTGCTGCTGATGCTTCTTCTGGGGGAATCCTATTTGGATCCGGTTATAGCGATTTCTGAGAGCTTTATTCATGTTTTTTGAGCTGTGGGAGGATGGTTAACGAGGAACTTTTCCCTTTGGTCATTTTGTCGGACCTATATTTAGGGTTGGTATAGAACCAGTGATTTCTACTCATGGGCGAGAACATAGGGGCTGGCTGGCCTTTGCCACAACATCTTGATGTCAATGAAAATTTTGGAATGACTTGTTAGGCAAGTCTCGTGTCGATTGCTTCCCATTGGATATCGAAACTGCCTGATGCATAGACATTTGCAGAGTTTTTTCAGTACAACTGAGTAACTGATGTTCGTCCTATTGTCTCTGAATACGGACGCAATATTTTTTCGTTCCTATTTTGATCTATTTCGCTATTTTTTTTTTGAGCGTCAGTTCCTAGCTAAAATAGTCTGCTAATGGTTTAAGTTGAACGAATAATTTCATGATTGCATGCCTTTGCAGTTTCCACGTCAATCTCCCCTGGTGACTTCCATTGCCGGAGTAGCCTCAAGCATCCGATGTGAAGCTACTGGAGTCAGTTCATTCAGGTACGCTTTACTGGAGAGATCCTCAAACTTAGCATTTATCTCAAAAAAATTCAAAAATGGTTGGTTTTTTTGAAACATTTCCAACTTTCAGGTTTATTTTTCCTTAAGATTGTTCCATGCTTATGGTTCCTCCATTTATATGTTATTTAAGTTGATTTTCCTTTCATTAAATATAACAGGGAAGCTTCCGAGCTAGCTGATGTCAATTGGGATAACCTTGGTTTCGGACTGGTACCAACTGATTATATGTATATTTCGAAATGTGCTGGAGATGGGATCTTTAGCAAGGGTAAATTGGATCCATTCGGAGACATAAAGTTGAGTCCTTCATCTGGAGTCCTAAATTATGGGCAGGTCAGTGCTTATATTCGATACTTCTATGCATCCAATCTTGGATAATGCTCGTGAAAAATTCTACCTGAACTTTCAGTTTGTTTTTCCTTTTATGTTGTTTAACGCACAGTAACTGACATTTTGCTTACCCTTTTCCTTGCTAAATGAAAATTTCTGAAAACCCCTGCAACTTTCCTTTAACATGTCCTGTGTTCTCATCTGTAAACAACAGTCTATAATCATGCGTCTCTTTCAATCTGAATGATCTACTATTCTTGGCTAATAAAGGGAACATCATGTCTAGTCAAGGAACTGGGGGACAGTCAAAGGGAGGGGTGATCAACTGTAGACAAGATGAACACGATATGTGATTTAAGTGTATATTTTGATTTATTTACCTTTGGCAGTTGCTCCAGGGCTCTTTCCATTTATTTATTTTTATCTCTAGGGTCTATTCGAGGGATTAAAGGCATACCGGAAGGAGGATGGTTCCATCTTGCTATTTCGCCCCGACGAAAACGCTAAACGGATGATAATGGGTGCAGAGCGTCTATGCATGCCTTCGCCAACGGTTGATCAGTTTGTGGAGGCTGTGAAGCTGACTGTTTTGGCAAATAAACGCTGGGTAGTTTATCGTTCACAGGTGTTTACTTCTGTTGTTCTTAGAGTGTTCTTTATGTGATTGCATGCTATTGATTTAGGTGCCCCCTGCTGGTAAAGGATCTTTATACATCAGACCACTGCTCATGGGAAGTGGACCTGTTCTTGGTCTTGCACCTGCCCCCGAATACACATTTCTAATTTATGTTTCTCCGGTTGGTAACTATTTCAAGGTGGGTTGCTGATCCTGTCTTCTGTTCCATTATCTTTTTAAATTCGGTTTAAAGCAACATCTCTCTTCATCCATGCATTGTCAATTTTATTCGAGTCATGGATACTGCATAGCACTTTAAATTGATTAGAAATCTGTCGTCATCTCTTTTGCCATATTGTTATCTCTTTTGATGGGTTATTTATATCAGATAGGATTGAGTAGTTAATCATTCTGCTCAGCATTAGAAGGTCGAAGAAGGAATAATCTCAGTTGGTACTAGTGCAGAAAATAAATGAATCAAAGAATTGCAGATTAGTTCAGTAGTTGGCTCAATTGTGGACTACTTATTTTTATGTTTATAGTGGTGCAAAGCACCTCACACGAAAACTGGTGTGAATGAAATAGTCTATTGTGCGGTGATTAAAAGAGTGTTCTTGCCTACTATTGCATGGAACGTTTTTTATGTTAAAATCGCTAAATCATGATATTTCGTAGCCCGCCATAAATTGACATGAAACACATTCCCATTGTTAGCTTTCATTCTTCGTATTTTAAACATTTCCTTCTTTACTGGCTTTTGTGCTTGCTATTTAGTTTTGCTTCATCCCATTTCAACTGCTCAATTCAACTAATCTATGAATCTAATCGGTAACAGGAGGGTCTGGCACCGATAAACTTAGTTGTGGCGACTGAATATCACCGTGCAACACCTGGTGGGACCGGATGTGTGAAGACAATCGGGAATTACGCCTCGGTAATAGCCTTGTGATAGAGTACTGCGGCCAAGACTAAAACAATGTTTTCTTTAGGAAATAGCTGTTGTGATGCGATACCTTATATTTTGCTTCAAAAGTGTATGACCTGCAGAGATAGACCATTTGGAGATTGCAAACCAGTTATAGTGTTTCTAAGCACTCATCCTGTCACATGTGGTCGCAATATCATGCTCATCTCCATTTTGTTTGTCTTAATTTATTGCGCTTTATTCTAAATGAGCTGCGAGGAAAAGAGATTTTGTGCCATCTATCAAGTCTGCTACTCGAACTATCTTTGACTAGCCATGAATTTGATGGAATCGGCATCAGTAGATTAATATTTAGAGTATATTTCGCATAGTGCACTTACACCGGCCACATTATTATTTCAGAGATTCAACTACTTGTTTCTCTTTACCTGCATGATGCGTACGAGTAAATTTCATAGCTTCTCGCTTTATATCGACCGTTACTTTTTTTTGATAAATTTTAAGTAAGCCTTAGTTACTATAGTTGCTGATATTATCCTGTCTCAATTTATATTTTTCTGTTGAAAATTTATGCGTAATTCCCGAAATGTATGTAACCCACGATGGAGATAATAGAAAACAGATAATGCTCATGCGGCACGAATTACATATGGAAAATTTGCTCAGTATTTATTTTTTTTTAATTCTAGGAGTTTCTGATGTTTTTTTTTTTTTTTTTTGTGTAGGTCCTCAAGGCTCAGGCTGAAGCCAAGGCCAAAGGCTACTCTGATGTCCTCTACCTTGATTCCGTCAATAAAAAGTACTTGGAGGAGGTTTCATCCTGTAACATCTTCGTTGTGAAGGTACGTAATATCTTTGGATTGAAAATAGCTTTACCGGGTCATCTCCATTTAATCGCATTTGGCTTTCACGTTGAGCTCATTCGCCTTCTCAAGCTCAGTATGAACAATCTGTTGTCCATCTTTGGCAACATCCCTGCAGGGAAATACCATTTTAACGCCAGCAATCAAGGGGACGATTTTACCAGGAATCACCCGGAAGAGTATAATTGATGTTGCTCGTCTGCAAGGATTTCAGGTAGCTATTTAATCCCCGAAATATTACCACATAAAACGGCGACTTTCTGTGGTAGTTCTTCCTTAAAAAGGATATTATATCGTTAGTTATACTGATTTGAATCTTTCTGTGGCGTATTTGTTTGTATGGCTCTTGGGGCCGGGTCTGTTTCTATCTGGTCCAAGCCACGAAAAATCGACTGAGCCAGGTCGATCCCATGGCCAGCCTTGTAGCTAGAGCTACTTTCAAACTGCGTTGACCCGCCCCCCCTCCCTGCCCTCGTAGTAGAGTTGTAACCAGTATCTGTTCTCTTTCTTGTGGTTGTCACTGGTCTCTCTCTCTCTCTCTCTGCGTGATGTCTCCAGCTACCGCTGTCCTTGTTCTCTTGGAACGGCCTTTGAGTAGTTTAAAGTTCGCTGGGCTTTCTCTAAAGAAGACGATGGGGAGGGTTGCAGGTTGAGGAGCGGCTGGTGTCTGTGGAGGAGCTGCTCGACGCGGATGAGGTTTTCTGCACTGGGACGGCCGTCGTTGTTTCCCCCGTGGGAAGCATCACGTATCTTGGCAAGAGGTACCTTCGTCTGTCTGCAATGCTTTGTGCTATGAATCTCGATACCGACTGTTGGATCCCCCTAATTGCTCTCTCTCTCGATAACTGTTGGCTGCCCTTCTGCTGCTCTCTGCCTCTTTCAAGTCGGGTTGCGGGTGCCGACTATCGGCCGCCGCTCTGCTCTACTCTTCTCTCTCTCTCTCTCTCTAGTTCTGTTTCTATCTAGATCTACGGTCTCTCTGCCCTCTCTCGAATCTGGTTGTGGGTGCCAATCGTTGTCTGCCCTTGCTCTCTATCTCTCTCTCTCTCTCTCTCTACATGGAGACCGTCACTCTCTGGAGAGTTATCATTAGGTGGACTAAGCTGCTTTCCCCCGACTGACGCAGGGTGGAGTACAAGAACAACGGCATCGGAAAGGTCTCTCAACAGCTCTACTCCGCCCTCACGAGGCTCCAGATGGGCCTCGCCGACGACAACCTCGGTTGGACCCTCAGCCTCGACTAGCTCTCTCCCTCTCCCTCTCCCTCGCCCCCCCTTTCTCTCTCTCTCTCAAGCCTTCTTCTCAGATTGCCCGAGAAGCCTTTTTGTTAAGAACAACTCGTAGAATAAAGCATCTGCTCTATTCCTCTTCCCTCCTACGTGATTCTACTGTGAGCCTCACATAGGGAGAGAGAGAGAGAGAGAGAGAGAGAGAGAGAGAGGGAGGGAGAGAGGGCGAAACCATACAAAAATGCCAGAGACAATACAATGGCCAGGGGAGCAATTAACTCACATCCTATAAAACTCAACTCTCTCTCTCTCTCTCTCTCTCTTGAAACGTATATAAATATATTTTAATATACAACGATGTAGTTATTCTTCTAGAAAAATTTATACCACTATCTCAGAGCATTCCTGTTCTGAATGGCTATAAGCGTAGACAGGGAGGCCACCGCCCGATGGAGTCTCGAGATGGAGAATCTTCTGACGGTGGGGTTGGCGGCGGCGGCGGCGGTGGCTGCGGCGGGTTGAGATTTGGTTATCTCCAGGGCGGTGGGGGAGCTGCTCTCTCCGGGGCCGCCATTCTTGGAGCTCTCGTCTCCTTCGTGGTCGCATATGCTGGCCATTCTGAGGGGGAACTGGCAGTACGCCGACTGCAATTGCTCGTGGATTTCCTCCATCCGCCCGTTCTCTTCATCATGCCGGTCCATCTCTATCACATCCTGCGCCGCCAGTCACTGGATCAGCCCCCAGATTGGCCATGAAATACTACTACGACTACTGCAATTAATAGCCCGTAAGACCGTTTCTGCCTCCTATGGATTCCAATAGGGTTTTTGAATCTTTAAGAAGAAAAACGAGGGAAACATGGATATGACCTCGTTGGTGTGCAATTAGGGTGCAATGTGAGACAGGCCCCGATCCCGGCCCGGCCCGATTTGTTCCACAACTGGGCCTCCAATCAAGCCCATAAAGGAAAAAAGAGGCCCACATGGCAGCCCATTTCTCTCTCTCTCTCTCTCTCTCTCTCTCTCTCTCTCTCCCTCCCCTCCCTGTTCAGTCTCAAAATAGAGGGCAAATAGGCTGTTCGGGTAAGAGTCTGGGCCAGCTTTTCAAAGGTCAGGGGCCTTTCCAAAAACAACTCGGACTTGGGATGGGCTCAGCAGGCGCTGACCCCGGACTGGGCTGATATTTCCCTCATTTGGGCCTCAGAACCAAGACTAACTAAGAAAAAACAGGTCCATTTCTCTCTCTCTCTCTTTCCCGGCCCATCGACACCGAAAAAAGAAAAAAACGAAAAAACGGAAAAAAAGGCGGAAAAAGAAAAATGAATGAATGAGGGTGGGAAATGACTAGTCATTTACCTGGGCGGAAAGGCTGTCGAAGACGGGGGCGAAGCGCTGGCGGCAGTACTCATTGAAGAGGAGGGTGAGGATGACGAGGGGGATGGTGAAGCCCGAGGCGATGGGGGAGTCCTTCAGCCCGAACACCCCCAGGGCGATGATCTGTGCCAGCACCAGCGAGAACACCGTCGTGTTGTGCACGATCGGCCACATCTTCCCCCCCGTCTCGTATTTCGAGCAGTACACGTTCAGAATCTGCCCCACATTTTTCAAATCAAAAAAATAATTTATTTCTTTTTAGATATGATGCATCTTCAACTTAATTTCTTTTTTTTTATTTATAGAAAGGAAGCAATATTAGGTGCATATAAACATCTAAGTGTTCGTAGGCCTTCATGGACATGAGTGAAAAAATAAACTAGAAACTGTCTAGATTCTTGACACCAGAAATATTTTTCATATCAAAAAGTATTTTTTTTATACGCATCTTCAACCAAAACGGACTTAAAGATAATTAATATTGAGTTCGTAAGAAGCCGCATATCATCTAAGATCGTATTTTTTAGTATATTTTCAGGTGCATTTTCTACGAAAAAAATGATTCTAATGGTTGGCAAGGAAGAATATGAAGAAGAAAGAAGAGAGGAGAAGAGGGCAAACCTGGTTTCTGTAGACGACGAAGCCGAGACAGAAATAGACGAGCAAGAAAGGGATAATGAGAGGAGCCAATATGGAGCATGTCAAGCCAAGCAGCCCGAACAGCAAGAGCTTGGGGACTTCGGTGTGATACGGAAAGGATAGGACGCCGTCTGGGTCGTCGCTCTTGCATCTAAACACGTGTCTCCTCACTAGGGAGTAGATGAGAGGGAACAGCTGCATGACTTCCGAGGATAAGCTCGCCCAGCCCGATGTCAAAACATACGTGATAAAAAAAGTCGCCTGCATGGAGTAAACAAGGTCAAACACTCACAAGCCTCGGTCAATAATAATAATAATAATAATAATAATAATAATCATCTCATCAGAGTAAAAAAAATAAATCATAGATTAAAAAAGGAATTTAGAAAGTAAAGAATCTGGTATGTTTCAGATGAAAAACAGCGGAGAGTCAACGCCCCACAAGATCCAAGTTTTTATAATAATAATAATAGTAAAAGTCGCCTGCATGGAGTAAACACCCACAAGCCTCGGTAAATGATTATAATAAAGAATCTGGTAAGTTTCAGATGAAAAAACAGCGAGGAGTCAACGCCCAGCAAGATCCAAGTTTATACAAATGATGCTCACCTGCCTCGGTACAGCTTTTGCAAGCTGCATTGGGATGGTCTTCGGACTAGAGATTGTGTTTACTTGGCTGATGACGGAACCGGACAGAACATTGACAAAAAATACGTTCCAGATTGTGAAGTACAGAACTTTGCAGCATGCGCTTGTTTTTCTGCCGCTGCGAGAGATGGGTCCTTCAATCGCCGAAAAGAACATCATAGTCGGAGGAACTAAATATAGGAATAGCATCAGGATGACACTTGGCAGATACCCAGTTATCAGCTGGCTTACGGGGGTCCTAAAAAACGGTGAATATTAGTATAAGAAGGTGTCCCATGTAGGTTGATCATCGCATTAAGAAAATAAATAAAATAAAAAACTGAAGAAGTCCCAGTTGCTAGGCATAAAAATTGGCAGAACCCCAGACACATGAAAGGATGAAGAACTTCAGAACTGGAGCACATGGATGAGAGCAACCTTACTCGGGAGTAGAGAGCATGATGATGGAGCAATATTATTGATGACACGTGGCTAATGCGGGCAATTTTAGTTGGCTTACATTACTCATGCATTCCGCCCATAAAAAGCTAACTCGTGAGCGTTTAGAAAAAAACCACACGAATCTTTGAAAGTTTCACTAGTACCAATGAGGGAGGAAAATTGACGTCACGGAGCTTTGAAATACGTTGAAACTTTCAAATAATAAGGGACAGAAATATCATAAAGTTTTTCTGAGTGGGTACACAAGGAACTTACTTCTTTAATATACCTTTCAGAAAAGGCAACATCTTTTGCAACTGTTCCAACTGAGACAGTCCTTGCACAAATGCCACGGGGATAAGAAATAGGAACATGAATACAATCGCAGCCAATAGAGTTGCTATTCGACGTATCCATAGCTGTCTATATGGAAGCCAAAGGTTTGACCAATAGACATCAACTGGCTCAGGAGCGAGGTCAGTAACCCATATCATTGGATTTGATGTCTGAAGAACTTTGGAGGCAACGATGGCAGCATATCGAGTTCTAAAAAACACAAATGCCGCAGCACACTCCTGGTAAAAAGATTCAAAATTAGCTCTCTGAAAACTAAAAGGCGTTCTTAGCAAAGAAAAATTGAATAAAATGAAAGATGGAACTAAAAAAGCAGTTTCTGGTTTTCAAATGAATAGAGTAACAGACAAGTGTGGACTATGGTTGTGACACAGGGAACAAATATGTGGAGATCCAGATCAACAAGTCAATCAGATAAAATGCAAAAAAATGGAGAGCATCCTTAAAGAAAATAATTCCAGATATAATACAACCACATTGAGTGATTGCTAAATGGAGATGCATGAAAATAATCATCAGCTATCAGAGCGTAGTTGGAAATCAACTAAAGGTACTCTGAGGCATGCCACATAGAAAAATGGAATAACACTCCATAGAAAAAGGAAATGCCTCCACAGTTAGCATATAGAACAAACTTAGTTCATAGTCGTCTAATGGACATAAAAATAAGTTGTCTGCGAAATAGTTGACTGTTTCATTTGCACAAATCATAAATGCATTAACAAGTGAATCAGTAAAAATAATATAAGACAGTATATATGCATGCACTAAAAAATTTCGGTCATGAATTGGAAGCTCAATGTCCTTAGCGAAGTTAACCTTTTCTTTAATGCATGGGTCGATATCGTTAAGGCTAGAGTTCTTCATTTCAAGATCCAATTCATTGTGGTATAGCTGGAATGAACCAGATGGCCCTCCACAAAGGCCACATCTAAGCCTATGTGGTACGCAACCCTTTTGAATGGTAATATCCTTCATGTTTACAACTTTTTTGTAGACTGCCTCTGCATTATTCTGCAACAGACAATGAACCATTGTTAGTTTCTAAAAGTTCATGAGGATAAAAATAAATTTCACTTAGCATAGATGGTGTAATTTACTCACAAGAAGTTTCTGAACTTTGCCAGTTCGATAAATCATCTGATGTGATAAGTAATCCAGTGAATGATATTTTGTGAAGAAACTTCTGACAGAGTCACTGAATGGTTCTCCTGTAGAACTAGGAATAGCACGCACAAGAACTGAGAAGTGACTGGGATTGGGGGCAGATCCAGTAATGTAAGCTAATCGCAGTTTTGCAATGGTCTTGTATTCCTAGTTTATCCGAGGAGGAGATCATGAGAATTTTGAAACACACCCAACAAAGTAGAAAAGTAATTACAAATTGAAAAGGTGTCACATGTTGAAAAAAGCTCACAAAGTAAAGGAGGATACAAGCTGAAACAGAGATGATGTAAAGTGCTAGACAGTGTACCCAGAGCCTGCAACACGAAATTAACATAGAATATTGGTTAGTGAAGCTATCACGGATGATTATAAATAAAAAAAATTATGACATGACATAATTTTTTAATAATCACGGATGATGTAAAGTGCTAGAACAGTGAATGATATGTCCACTAAGAAGAAATAGGTTAAATCTTTTTTCCCTAATTTTTAGATCGATTGGCGTGAAGGAATTAAGTTTTAGCCTCTTTAAGGGAAAAATGCATACAGAACAGGGTAATTCCCCAACATGTAATCAATTCCATCTAGTTTGACCCCAGAAGTTCATTAGGAAGTGATCAGCATAAAGGTATCCAAATTGAAGATTTTAAGCATCATAAGAGTTCCAAATCCAATAAAAAACATATTGAAATTCAAACATTTGCAAAAAAATATACTAATTACTAAATATCGTATTTAGGTATCTGATACATTAACAACAATTATCATACACACGTAAAGCATTGTATTATGCGTTAATGATTGTCTACTGATACTATCCATAGTGTTGCTCTATCATGCTCAGCAGGAAAACATATCCAAGTAATATAGTCATGCATAAACAAGGAAGATAATTGTTTGGCTACTTAAATAGACGTGTTTAAATATTGTCACAATGAATACAATTATAAAATGATATGAATTTGAGTTTCAAACAATACAATGCATGTGCTTGGTATGTGCATGATTTTTTACCGTAGTGTAACCTCCTCCCAGATGATTATTTGTTCATCAGACTTAATATTCTATCTCGACTGATATGAATCTACCTTATGGTAGCTTTCACTTTAGGGTATACACTGATGCAGTATTTCTTTCATTAGTGATCCACAGGAAAATTAGCTTGAAATGGCATGTCCGCACGCACACGCACACACACAAGTAGACAAAGTATCAATAAGAAAGTCCCATTACAAAAGAGCAATGATCTTTCTCATGCATACCATTTAGAGCCTTGCATTACATTTGCAATGGTGAATACATCCAGAGACTCTGAAGGTATATTCCGATGACGCATCTCCTGGCCAAAATAATTTAGTGGAAGCACTCCAAATATGCATATGGCAGCTGCTATTGAGAAGATTCTAATACTGTGTACAAAGACAATGCCAAGTAAGTCATAATAACATTGGACAGATTTTAGGCGAAAATGAAGTATTATGTCAAAACTAACTAGCTAAGGCTAAATCAAATACTCGATTTCTGAATGCAAAATGATCGGAGTGGACCCCACATGCAGGTGTCTAGACGAATGTTACAATGTTATAAAAGCTATGCCCAAAACCGCAATGCTAAAAGTGCACTATGGAACCAAAATTCCAATAGCAAAGCTAATAAATAAATAATAACGCAATATATCATTACAGTATTAGAGAAGTCGTAATGTTTAAATGAAAAAAGTAGCCAATGAATAATCATGCCCAAAATGCCCAAAATGCCCAAAATATTAATGGCAAAGATAACAGATGTACACTTATGCCAAATATGATGAGCAACAGTCATATTCAAATCATATTTCAACTAGGGAAACGAGATATGCAGTATCCAGGTAACAGTATGGAACATGGCTTTCGAAGAATCACCTGAACACAACTATCCTGAGGAACACCACGGCATCCAAACCAGCAATTGACAAGATATCTGATTCCGTATATTCCCAAGCCTTCAAAATCCAACTGGGAGACGGAACTAGTCTATCTAGAGCGGATGAATCCTGACGTCTGCGGTGCTCTTCAGCAAGTCTCCGTCCAAAGTAGACATTGACATTTCCTGGTTGCCTTCTCAGAACAGAATACAGCAATAGAAGCACCACACAAAGGGCTATGTTGATGCCAGCAGAAGTTAGAAGAGCAGAGAGTTTCATCTCCTACTCTTAAAGTAAATAATGCACATGGTCAGTTTACTAGCATAAAAGGCTTCTTTGGAAGAGACAAATGCCCTCCCCACGCAAGACAGGACAATCACAGTTGAGTTTTCCGGTTAATGCAGTCTTTGTTCTTTGCCATGGTATCCGCACCCTGAGCGATTAAACAGCAGAAGTATTACATAACATCAGAAATAACTATATTACATATTTATCATAAAAACTCGTCCAGTTAATGATAACAATGACCAAAACTAAGCTGAAAGCACATGAATATCAAACGGTCGAGAAAGAATAGATTGATCGTCTTATGCTTCTAACAGACAATGGAGGTGAACAAGACAGATATAGATTAGAAAACTGAAAATAACTCACTCTTCAAAATCCCTATTCTAAAGGAATATAATCTGCTCGAAAAAGTGAATATGGCGGAAGAGGGGGGAGAGAGAATATTCTGTATGCTCTCCGTATAATTTGATAAGTTTGCTATTTGCCAATTCATCAGAACATATGGACCATCCTAACACTAAGTCGTGCCTTTCCGTAGCCATCGTACTTATACTGCTCCCGTCTCCCTCCGTGGAGGCTCGAACGAGAGAATCGCGCCAGAGATTTATTCATCACCAAAGATCCCACACCCAAAGCAATCCACAAAAGAGCAACAGAGAGCCGGGCAATGTCGTATCAATAAAGAGCCATGGATGCAACAGCGAGTGAAAAATATTTTAAAAAATAACGGAGCCAGAGATCGGCCGATCAACCGTACGGGTGAAAAAAAAAAACAGAGAAAACACACGAGCATTCGATCCACATCCCCAGCAGGATCAAAACCAACCGATTCATGCAACCAGAGAAACGAAGAAGGCATACCATCAACAGAGACAAACAGCCGATCGCAACGGAGAATCAAACCAACCGAGGCGACAACGGTAGCGGTTCCGACAGGCAGCAAATATGCCATACCTTTACGCAGACGGCTAGAGAGCCTCCAATCTGACTGCGTCCTGCGAGGACCACCTCTAAGAAGCAGGGAGAGGGAGAACGACTAGGATAAGCAAGCGGAGCGCCACGAGAGAAGAAAGAGAGAGAGCGAGAGAGAGAGCGAGAGAGAGAGAGAGGGAGGGGGAGGGAGGGAGTAAGCAGAAAGGAAGAAAACTAACCGGACGCCGGGAGGGAGGAGACCGCCAGAGAATCTTAAAAATATGCGTTAATTATTAGCATTTATAAATATACAGAGAAGGAATAGGAGAGAGAAAAGGTGGGGGCCCCGATTCTGTTGTCTCCAATCAGCCGTCTCTTTGTGATGTGCGCTGTCCCAGCCAACGCCGTATCATTTTCATATTATTACAATTTTAAAAAATCATTTTATTTTGGAGAAAACTTTCGCCCAGCCCGTTTGCTCAGACTCTTACACCACGCCCGAAATGGAACCGTTCTGGGCCCGGCCCGATGAGTCGGCCCCACCCCTCAGATCACCACCCGCGCATTATTTTATATGTATATATGAGTTGGATATCCACGTCAAGGACGTTGAATTACGTGGCAACTACATGTGGAGGGAACCGATGCCGTGGTCGGCCGAGGACGCTCGGCGACGGGGAAGCAACCGGCATAACTGACAGTGAGTTGTGGGAGTGTTGCGGTTTCCCGAGGTCAGCACAGGCGAATGATCACCGACTAGGTGGCATCGCCGGTTGGCGCCAGTCGGTTAGCGGACCGACCGGTTTCCTGAATCCCATCCCGCCACGTGTTATTTGGTAAGGAGTCGCCTTCCTGGACTCCCGTCCGCCACGTGACCTTGATGCATGGTTTGCTTTTGGAGTGTAGTTGAGTATTGTCTAAGAAGATGATTTTATGAAATTTAAAATACGCTGAGACAACTGGGCAAAGATTCACGGTCATTCCTGGCCGTTTGATAATAGAATAGTCAACTGTTTGACGATGATGATGATGTAAGAATGTATCTGCGTATAAAACTTGCTTTCGGAAGATATCGATAGATAGATAGAGAGAGACGATTAATGGTCTGAAAATTTACAGATATAAGAAAAAAAAAGATAATTTGATAAATGGTTCCCGAATATTTATAAAAAACGATTAAAAAATATTATATATGAATAAATAATGGTCCGAAAATATTTATGAATAATAATGAAAAAAATATTAATGTGAGCCGCCGTAGGTCTCTTTAAATTCCCACGAATATCGAGCGATGTTCCCGAAAACTTATAAATAATATTAATTTTTTTTATAAAAAATGGCCTTCATTGTAAAATAAAAACCTTCTATTGTACGTAAGCCTTGGAGATTGAGGGGGATTTACAGTAGAGGGAAGAGTTCTCTGCGCCGGAGGGAAGAGTTCTCATATCTCTCAGTAGAGGAGGGAAGAACTCGAGAGCCGACGACCGACCCAGATCGGAGCAAGGTGTTGCTCTTGTCGCGTGGGCATTCCCGCCGTCTGGTTTGCTTGTTGCAGGAGATTCTGGGGAAGAACACGCCGAGCACTGATGCAGATATGGGCGACTCTCAGCCGCAGAAGGTACGGCGGGGTTTCGTTTGTCGGTGAGATTATCGAGATTTCTGAGCATAAGTTAATGTTGGAGAAAACCGGATTAAAGGTTGTCAGGAAAACCCACGGATCGATGTGTAACGATGAATGGTCCTGTGAATGCTGTTACTTGTCTTCTTCGTCTGTCTGTTCTGTTGGGCAAAGGGGCATGAGATTTGTGGATGTTTTGCGTGCTGATCAATGCGCTTACTATCGTTCGTAGAGGAAGGTTCCTGTATTCGATTTGATCTTGACAGCCTATCAGTCGCTTGAGTGCTCAAACCTTTCTTCTCACGATTTCCTTCACCTCATCTTTCTGAATTTAGTCAATGTAGAACGAATAATTGCTTCGATGCATGTGTACGAACAAGTTGTGTTCCTTGTTTTCTTTTACTCTTGAATATTCCAGCGACTAGATTAATTTATCGACATTATTACTGTCCTTAGAGATCATATGTCAGAGGACACAAAAATTCCTATTAGAGCGAGCAACTACATTTTTATTCATGTGGCCATTTATTTTCCCGGTGCATTATGATGAAATCAACTACTGTGGCCCATACTTGGGAATCATTCATCCCAAAAGGAACATATTCGATTTGGTTGCTTTTCTCCTTGGACATTTCTATATTTTTCTTCTTCTGCCTCATCCACAATTTGCAAATGAGCATCATGACTTGTTTGCACTTTCTCTCTCTAAAGAACGAGATTTTTTTATTACTGAATTTTCTTGGCCTTGCTGTGAGACAGCCTATCTTGAATCGTCTCATATTCACTCCTGACGTTTCTTGACAGATGGAACGTGGGATGGGAATTGGCCCACAAAGCAGTATTCCAGGCAATATCATCCAGAACCATGATTTCTCCAGAGAGTTACATTCGTGGCAGAGCCCAGCTGAGGCATATGTGGTGGAAGAGTCACCTGGTAAACCTGACCAGATAGCTGCCAACTCAGGTCTTTTCTACGCAGTAATCACAGAGAGGAGAGAAAACTGGCACTTACCTTGCTTCTGCCTATGTTAGAGTTTGGGGATGTATTGAGGGATCTACTTCTGTCGCTGGTATGGTGAGATTCGAGCATGACTGGACTAGCGAATATAAGTTAGTTGGCAGGTACTGGAACTGGATGTGCTCTGGTTAATACCTCTTTCCTATCTGCTTGATCATTCATTTCTTGTTCGTGGTTGCAGAATCGAGGCATCAAAAGAGAGATGGCAGTTGTTGGAAGGTGAATTCTTTTCATCTGGCACAGCAAAGCGCGTGGTTCTCTATCTTGAGTGGCCTTCCCCTGGTGTAGACTTGCTTGTCGATTCCGTCTTGGCCTTCCCTCCAAATCATAAGCAGGTTGGGGTATGCTTCGTTGATCCATGGATGTCTGTGATATTTCGTTACTGGGCTTTAATTCTTTATTGTGAAATTGATTGTAGTAATGATTATATAACATTCTTACTGTCAGTAGCTTTGTGGGTTAAGCTATGGTAAGATTTTTCACAATATTCGGTTTTCCCACTCAAAAAAAACTGTGGCTTATGATGCTTGATACTGGGGGATATTTCTACACCATCGGCATTATGCCCAGCAAAGTTTTATGTTATTTTAGAATCCAATGTATTATTACTTATAGGTATATACATCATGATACTTGTTGTATTCAATATGTCTTCATCATACCCTTCTTTGTTGCATCAATCCAAGTTTCTTTAAATAAATCTTTTCCCTCATTAGATTTAATGCTTCAATTGGGACTAAGAAGACATATTCAAAGAACGATGATGGCAAAGGGAGATGCTTTATTGAATGCCATAGTAGTAATTTATTGGTTCAAACCAACCTAGGCTGAGAGTAATTTAAACTTGAAAAGTGCTGGCAAGTGCTGCTTCACCTTCTAGTTTCAGGCAAATAGCAAGGATCCATCATGTTCGTCATTATTAGCATTTCAGTTATTTTTCATAAAAAAAAATATCCACAAAAGAAGGCTGTCAGAGTTGGAATGGGAGAAAGCTCGCATATGAAGCCACTTGTGTTGTCCAAATATTTGGAGCTGTTCATATATGCGCAGATGTGCAAGTATGTTCATTGCCAAGTAATCATTTTCCTGAGTAATTTGTAAAGATCACCTTGAATATCTGTTAAGATCCCATTCATATCTCAGGGTGCAGGTATCAGAGGAATGGGTTCATCTTCGTTGAAAGTTCCTCATCAATGGGAGTCCATCGAGAGTTGTTATCTACCTGGAATGTCCACCCCCAGGTACAGATATCCTTGCTGCCAGTTTCGACGTAAAACGTTCAGAGAAGCTTCCGCATTTACGTCCGCCTGAGTTTGAGGTTAGCAATTGGGTCCATATAGCCTCGTGTTTTCCGAAGAATAGTTCCATTTATGCAGAAGTTAGAGTGGCTGATCGTTCTCTGTGCTAACAGTCGTTGTCTTCTCCATTTGATTCTGCAGGAGG